GAAGAGAGGTCAATTGTAATTTATTTTATTATTTAAAAGAAAACTGGCTTTTATTACTTAATGTAATCTGTTCTGCAGATTGTGTATTGTATTTTAATGTGCGCTTTTATCTGGTTTTTTATATGACTTCATCCTCTGGATTTAGTACATGTATCTTTTTAAATTTTTTTTTATTAATAAATATTAGATTTCATTAAATTAGGTCATCCCACCTTTTGTTTGCATCATAATCATCTTTGGTTTTTGCGCCAAAAAACTAACTCACTCACTCACTCATTCTGGGGAACACTTTAGTGTGCTGCATAAAATTATTCATATATGTGATTGGAAAGCTCCAATTTACCTCGGAATTTACCATCTTTTTGCAGTGATTTGATAACCACCAGTTATCAAATTAAATACCGATGTGAACGAATGGCTAATATCAGATTTTGCACTTTGATTATATTAACGGCCTTTCCTAATAGGCATCTTGCCATATCTATGGAGGTTCGTTTACGTTTTGTATCACCAGTCTTTAGAGTTCATATCTTTAGGAATATGAATATTATAAACGAGTCATCTAAAGTTCCAGCAAGATGCTGCCGTTGGTGACCTGGAGTTCAATCAGATAAGGTTGTAATTGGCAGTTATAACACGAGGTTTTTAGCACGAGCTGTGAGAACATTATTGCAATCGTTTAGACCTTCTGTAAATCTAATTATGCACAACAGTTGTCCAGTTTTGCCTTTTATCAAAATTTCGCTTCTTTAAGTGAGTCTGAGACACAGCTTGAATAGTGCTAAATATTCAAATAAGATTGGAATTTGTTAATATGAATAAAATAAACACAGCTGCTACTCTTCTCACAATTCTTTTAAGTTAATGTGGAAAGAAATTTTTAGAATATTCTTGCACTTGTCCTCTTCAGTTCTATCAGCGAAATCACAAAGGTACTGGCAACTTATGAAAATTCTCTAATTGGCGATACCGTGTAAAAGGTAAACGAATTTTATCACAAATGTAGCAAAACGTAGTGCGCAAACTGTAATTTAGAGAATTAACTATAACGTAGCATGATTAATATTTCATAAAATTTAAAAATAACATAAACGTAAGAATTTTTTTAATAACGCTTGCCATTGATGAAATGTTAAGTAAACTCGCGGTTATTATCTCTGGTTCAGGATATGTCAATTCAGTTCTGTATTCAAAACCGACAGTTAAATAGTTTGTCAGAAAGAAACTAGAAATAACTGTAATTCGTATTAAATTAAAAACAATATATCAACAATATCATTCGCATTTCTTAATAAAAGAACAAACAACCATCTTCATCTATCTTGTTCTTTCTGATTCTTCATGAAAGGTTCACCTGAATTAAATTCACGAGTTTTATTTTGAGACTGTAAAAGATTAGTCAATTATGAGACTATAAAAATTGATTGTAAAAACACATCTGTCATCAGTGATAATCTGAATTTAAGGAGTGCAAATAATTCATTATTGTGATAAAGCAAAATTAAACACTCAAAAGATTCGTACTAAAAAAATATTGAAATTCAATAAGGAACCGTAATTCTAAAAAATTTAAAAGCCAAAATGATAATTTCAAAAATAAAAAACTGTCTTCAAGCATTGTAAAATAACAGTATAAAACAAGGTGCATGAATTATTGCACAACAGAATTTGAATAATTGCTACCGCTGTTAATATCACCAGAAGGTGTTCGACGATAACATCGCGGACGGAAACGTCGCGGAAAAAATAACGCAAGGCGAAAACGTCGTGCTACAAAACATCGCAAAGAGAAAACATCGTAGTTCTAAAACATCGTGGTACAAAACATCGTCGTCGAAAATAAAGTGGTTCAAAAACTTCGCAGTTTAAAAACATCGTCGTCGAAAATATCTTGGTAAAAAATAAAGTATGTACAAATCATCGCATGACGATAACATCGCAGACATGATTTTTTCAGGCTTTATTAATTGTAAATGGATATTCCCATAATGATTTGTGCGCGCAAGATGGAAAAAAAGATAATTTTTGCTTTCATATTTTTTATCAGCTGTATAATATTTCAGTAGGTTTTGGATTTATTAGATTATACTAAAGCACACTACGGCTATTTGCTTAAGGGGTAGCGTTCCTTTGTGAAGTACATTCTCAGGAACTGGTTCATATGCCCATTATACTTTAGGAAAATCACGAAAATCTTCACGCAGCTTTTTTTTTTTTTTTTTTCCTTAGAAATAATGTATACTTACAGTGAACCTCCCTGGTTCACTGTAAATATACATTATTCACTGTAAGTATACATTATCTCCCTAAAACGAAAAGTGTTTTTGAGATCAATTAACATAGGTTTTGATCATTACGCAAGTTCACCACATCCACACAAGATTAAAAAAATACGGAATTTTGAGTGGTCGCTTTAAATTGGATTGCTTAAATTTACTTTTAGATTTAGACATTTCTTATTGATACTTTAATCCAAAAGCTTAAACTTAGAATATCGTTCTTTTAGTTGAATTCAATAATAGATGCAACATTTTCATACAAAATGGTACAGTATTCAGTAAAACTTATACTTACAAGTACTATATTTTCTTTCGTTAAAAAAAAAAAAAAAAAAACACTGATTTCACCTTTCGATCCCAGCGACTTCTACCAGATATTTATTCTTGTATACGTCTGTAATGAAGTTTTAAAGAACTCTTGCCATTTTTGAACGAACAACAAACTTGATTAGTCAAAACTTACATAATAACTGGAAAAAAACTTTTAAGCGGGCGCATCGTCTGTGGATATTTTTGCGGATTTCCTTTCTACTACCTACCAGGAAGTAAAAACAAAGATAATTTAAAGTATAAGCATGTATTCAATGATGATTGATTTCCCCGATTAATACTGTATAATAGGAGGGATATAAGATTAAGGTAAAGAAAATGTAAAATGGAATAAAAAATTAAATAAAACAAAAACAAAGAGAAAAATCTGAAAAATTTCAGATTTTAAATTACGTCCAAAGGGTCTTTTTTTAACATTTTGTGTGTTACCTTTATTTATTAAATATTATGTTCTTAGCACTTGAACCATAAAATTCAGTTCAACAGCATTATCGCAAAATAATTTTAAAATGAGCACATCTTTGGAATTTTCGATGCAGAGTTCTGCGCGCTGGAGATAAAAATGTTTTTTTTTCTGTACAAAGTTGCCATGGCTCGGTTTGAAATCCTTAGAGTTTGTTAATCAAAAATTCGTTAAAGTTTTACAAAATATGAAACGATAATAAAACACATTCCAAATTTGGGCTTCCAGATGTCCATATTCGCAGTAGGATTACGTCATTCAAAATTGGTTGGCTCTAGGTGTTGTTGTGCGTAGTTCGTAGATTCGTTCGTTGCCTAAATTGTGCAATTCGTTTTTTTTTTTTTTTTTTTTTTTTTTTATTAAGTTTAAACAGGATGCTGTGTACATGGTATTCTTTGAAATTTATTGTTGTTATGTTGATTTATTAAAGCGAGGTGTGCGTAGTTCGTAGATTCGTTCGTGTCCTAGATTGTGCCATTCGTAGATTTTTTTTTTTTTTTTTTTTTTTTTTTTTTTTTTTTTTTTTTTTTTTTTTTTTTTTAAGTTAAACATATCGCTGTGTACATGGACTCTTGTCAATAATTTTGGTTAGAACTTTAACGGTTTTGCCTACCTAAATTTTTTATTTTTGTTTCGGATTTTTAGCTTAAATTGTGTGTCCAAAACGTGGTTTTTGCATTCGCGAAAACCGTGTTTTTGGAGACATATTAGGCTTAAAGTTCGAAATGTAGACAAAAAATTTAGATAGCAATTTGGCAGCGTGGAGTTTCTCGCCAAAAATGTTTGACGAGAAATTTAGCAATTTGAGGGCGCATATCAGAGTAGTTCCATAGTTTTTAATAATTTTTGCTTTAAAAGAGGGTAAAAAGTTTGTAACCTTTCAAAAAGTAAAGTTTTATAACCTATCAAAATTTCTAATCTTTATAAGAGAGACATTTTTGGATGTTAGAATAATTAAGTCTCAAATTTTTAAGTTTCATAAAGTAAATTTATATTATGTAGTGCAATAAAATTAAGAAACTACACTCATAAAATGAAATACTGAGAAAAAAATGTATAAACTTCAGCAAGGAAAAAACTGGTAGGTTTCTTTGCAAGTAATTTTAAACGCTAGCCGTCTCCTACCCCTCTTTTTGATACAGAAGCAAGAAACAAAGAATGGCGTAATGACATTGTAACTTTGAAACTGGAAAACCAGTACTTTACTTTCTGTTCCATATTGCAGCATATATTTAAAAAATTTGCAGAAAATCGCATAATTAATATTTTTTTATCATTCTCATTTTAAAACACAGCGAAAAATTTGTTTCATTACCTATGAAAATTTCAAAGTTTTTAGGTATTGAAATTTTAAAACAGTTTGAAAAAAAAATCAAACGATTTTCGAAAATTTTCAAAAAATCATGAATTACATTAAAAATTTCATACGATTTTCATTAAAATAATTTTTCGCTTTATCCAATGATGCAAACATTAAATTTTTGAGACTTTTTATTTGTTTGTAATGTGCGAAATTCATTTCAACATTAAATTTAACGGGGAGGGGTTCTCTATTGTCATTGTATATGCAAAATTTGAGCTTGATACTTAATTAGGGAATAATTTTAAATTGAAGGTTAACTTATCAAAGCCAGAAACATCATGAATGAACTAAATAAAAGCTTATGATAAAAATGGAGATCATGAAAAATACCTCAGGCACGAACGAGGAAAAAATTATATTAAAATTACAACTGCTTTGTGAAATCAGCGTTGTGATCTGAAAATTATGTAACCTTCAGCAGACATCTCCGTGAAAATAGACACTGGAGAATTTTTTCCCTTTTATAATTGCCTTTATCATTTGGCGACGACAATTCAGATAACCTTCCTCCTCCCCTCCTCCCATCATTTTTAGTTCAGCGTAACTGGATGCTATAACCTTGAAGTGTTCAGATTAGCTCGTTGATGTAATGTGTGTTGTAACTGTATACATTCGAGCGCGGCGTTAACGTTTGTTACCGTTTAACTGAGCGAAATGTCTTTTGCACTTTCGTTAATGGAAGGCTTAACGCCTGAGATGGAAAGAACATCAGAAAGGGAACTTGGTGAGACTCCTTCAGTAAAAAAGGAATCTCTGGATAAAATCAAAAAACTCATAGAACGTAAGTGGAATTTCCGAATACTTATTTCGTCAAATGTACCAAAACAATACTCACATGTTGTATAGTTATAAAACTTCTGTGATATTCTGAAGATTAATCTATGAATTGTGCTCTACAAAAATTTATAAAATTGGTTATGGATAAATACGAATAAAAGGTAATTTTAGAACGAAATATAAATTATTAAAGTCTAGATGCGTTATACCCGATGGTAAAATACGTATAAAGATTTGGAGGGAATCATTTCCCTTACCCCTACCAGATGGCAGCAGTACCAAAGAATTTTAAATTATCGTTAACAATTTGCAAATTCTTTGCGAGAACATTCTGTTTGAACAACACTATGTAGACCAGCTACTTACTGTAACGATAATAAGTAATAATAATTAGTTAAAAATTATCTAGTTTATGATAATTTGTTCTTTATGTTTTCATCTTTCCTTCTCACACAAGAATTTCATGTAACCGATCTCAGCGTTCGTACGGTCCTTAAGAGTCCTTTAATTTTTTGGAATCGATTTTTCGTCCTTAAAAGTCCTTAATTTTGACCAAAATCAGCAGAAGATACTTAATTTTAATCATCTGAAATTTTTGTCTGTTTTTACGACTGCCATTTTGAGTGTGAAGTAGCATTTTGCAGCAATATTTTTGGCGCAAAATGCTAATTCACGATTCATTATATAAATTTGACAAAATATGGTTATTTTTTGAATGGGTTCATGGGTTATAATTTGTTCCTATTTGTAATATAACTGCTGGGATACTCGAGTTTCTGAGCAAGGAGTGAAACATAAGCATTTCAAAATTATTTCATTTTTTGAAATGAAGAGCTCTCAAACAACTTTTCCGCTCCGAGGATGTGAATTATTTTATTAAATGGTTTTAAATTTGGCGACTTATCAACATTTTGACAATTTTAAGATCGGTTCCTATGGAAAATTTTTAATTCCGAAATCTGGGAAATTTTTGGTGACTTTTTTAGAACATTCTATCATTAAAATAATGGTAATGTATTTGAATTATATTTAAGGAATAACATTAAAATAAAGCATTTTTATTTTTCACTGTCATATCATAAAGTTCCAACTTGCTTTTTACACTTTTGCCTTGCTACTCTTTTTTTTATAACAAAGCTGTCAAAAATGTAAATATTTTGAAATAGGCACAATTAGTGCACCAAGTTGTTTGTGGCCGCAACATGTTTTCTTAAAATAAAAATGAAGACTTCATCTGCCTCCGTTTCTTATTCATTATTGGATCAACAATTTACGCAATCAAAATTCTTGCTTTTCATTATCGGATTCTACATTTTTACCACACATAAACAATTCTAGTCATTTGCTTGCTAATTTCTCAAAATTCCACTTGTTTAAATTTCTTTTTAGTAATTCACAACATTTGATTTTCCTTTTGGTTCTGAATTTTACTTTTACCTTTGCCTACATGGATGACGAAACACGAATTGAATAATTGAAGAGTTAGGTTTGCGGGCAACTTTCCCTTGATAAGTCTATCTCCTGCCTGCTCAGCAATTATTCACTTATGCATTTTTTAGTTGGCAGCAATAATTAATCATTTATTTGTTTGAAAATAAATTTCATTATTTAAAATTTAAAATTTTTTTAACTTTAAATTTGCTTTTTACAAATAGAGAATATTTGTTAAATTTATATATATATATAAATTGTAGAAAGCTCGCCTAAAAGTTACCAAGAGCTTATATATATTGCTTCACAGGAAAATAGTATAGTTAAATTAAATTTAAATAATTCTCTTGCGCAATTGCTGCAAGGAATGAAATTTGAATTTAACAAATATTCTCTATTCGTATAAAGCAAATACAAATTAAAAATTTAATTAAGAAATTTTAATTGCAAAGAAATAAAAATAATTATTATTGTTGCGAACTAATTTACAATATCATTTAAATTCTAAGAGCATATGCAAATTAATTGCACTTATCTAAAACCATGAAAAAATATATTATACCAAAAAATTAAACTTATTATTCCTCAAAATCGCATAAATGAATAATTGTTGAGCAGGTAGAAGACAGACTTATCAAAGGGAAGTTGCCCCAAAACCTGACTCTTCAATTACTCAATTCGTGTTTCGTCATCCATGTAGGCAAGGGTAAAAGTAAAATTCAAAACCAAAAGTAAATTCAAATGTTGTGAATTAAAAAAAAAAAAAAAAAAAAAAAAAAAAATTAAACAGTGGAATTTTGAGAAAAAAAGCAAGTAAATGACTAGAGTTAAATTAATAAATTAAAAGTCAATTAAGAGTAGAAAACCAATTTTTTTAAATTATTTTTAGAAAACCAAAGTAATTTAGAAACTCTTGCCTACAGGAAACTTCCCCAACACGAATTATGCATGTAAACCTAAAATAAACTATATACAAAAATCAAAATATAAAAATAAAAAGGCTAGTAAATAGCAAGTTTTAATTTAACTTACCTATATCTACATTTGAATTTCTGAGTTATTCTAGCATTCGCTAAACTAGTTGAGTTGAGTAGTTTGCACTGCTAACTGTAAAAATAGTGATCAATAGAGGTCTCTAATACAATGTAAAGTTGAAGGTAAAGCTGCTACCTGTGAGGGCTATTGTCAAAACCTATGCTGTAAACTTTAAAAATGAAAAATGTAAAATGCTTGTTTGTGTGCAAAAATGTTGCTAACTTTGAGTCATTGTAAAAAAGTGTAAAAAGTAAAAAAATGAAAAGTAAAAAATAAAAAAAAGTGAAAAAATAAAAAGTAGAGAATTTTATAACTGCTTTATACGAATAGAGAATATTTGTTAAATTTATATATAAATAAATAAATAAATTTATACACACACTTTTGATCGGCTTAAAACTTCCTACCGGGCCTAAAAGTCCTTGTCCTGCTTTTATTTTCCCATTCGTTGGTCGTGTGTAAAAAAGTCCAAAAAGTAAAAAATAAAAAATAAAAATAGAGAATTTTAATATTTGCTTTATACGAATAGAGAATATTTGTTAAATTTATATATATATATGCACACTTTTGATCGGCTTAAAAGTCCCTACCCGGCCTAAAAGTCCTTGCGCAGCTTTTATTTTCCCAGTCGTTGGTCGTAGCCATATACTTCCAGTCATAGAATTGTTTTAAATGAAGAAAATATTCATATTGTGGCAATATCAAATTTTAAAAAAAATATGAATTTTTGATAAATAACGAAATCTGACATTTAATGCGATCTCCAGGTTCCTATACTTATATATGGGAAATTGTTATGCTTGTTTTGAAAAAATAAAAATACGAGAAGTTTGACTCCCGTACGACAAAAATTGACCGCAATATTTAATTTCAAATTTGCAGTTTTTGATGTCATTTTCAACTTGCCTGGAGGGATCGGTTGATAAGTTAGAATTGTAAGAAATCAGTTTAAATAAAGTGGAGCAAAAAATGTGAATAACTTAATAGGCTGTTCAAAGACGTCATGTGGTGTCCACATCAGATTTTTTACGAATATAAAATTTTCCTATATCTAGGTAGCGACCGAAAGAACGTGCAAAAAGATAAATTTCGTGATTTTTACAAACATGAATCTCTGCGTCACTTAAAACATTTTTGTATTTGTCTACGACCAACGGTTGCGAAAATAGGCCGGAAAAGGACTTTTGTAGACAAGGTTGCGTGTTAAGTCTTTTCACTAAAGTATTTTATTATTTCATTTAAGTTTTCAATTCTTTAGATAGAGTTCTGTTTGTTTAAAGGTAAAATTTTGATTTGAATTTACTTTGTTTTTCCCTTGCTTTGGGGAGTGTCCAGAATTTTCGGTGAACTATTATAATTAAAATATATTGGAAAGGTTCCATCGACTAATTCAGGATACAGAAAAGAAGGATTTTTTTATGGAAGATAGATTTCAGTGTTCCTCCTCCTGACGAAGTGTCACTGAAGTTGATTGATTCTTTTTACATTTATAGGATTTTATGAAAGTTATTACTTATATGAATTTCAATTTTTGGTCTTTGTGGAAAACTGGTTCTAAATTTCTTACTTTATGTCTTTACTGATAATTTTTCAGCAGCTTAATGCGCAAAAATACTAGGCATGATTATGTTATATTTTTTAAATTATTTTCTAATTGTGATATATATATATATATACCAGTCAAAATATACGCTTGCAATTGGATGGATGGTAAAACCAACGAAAGACGCCTTGTGCTCAGTCTGAAAAGGTTAGTTAAATATGGAAGATTTTTTTTGAAAAGTTTGTGATTAATCTCGAGTATAATGTAAAATTTTATATGAAGAGGAAACATCAAGAAAGACAGTCTCACCTGTTTAATCAAAACTCTTATTCTATCTAGTTTTATTTAAGTATATACACTGCTGTTTCAGAACGCCGTGCAGCTATTATCGGAATACCTGTTATCCCTAAAATTTCGTCTTTTTATTCCTTTCCTACAGAAGAACCCGACTTCCATCCTTTCTTGGATGATAAATTCCTCTTAATGTTTTTGCGATGCAAAAAATACGATGTTCAGAGAGCTTTCAAGACATTACAGAATTTTTACCTCTTCAAAGAAAAGTACTCACGGGTTTTTACAGATTTTTTACCATCGGAGCTCAAAGGCACTATGGATAAGAACTGCTACACCAATATGCCGCTGAGAGACAGCTATGGTAGAACTATTATTATTTTCCGCATAGGTGAGGAATTCTTTTTTTATATCATATCTGTTTTTCTGGATACATTATTTTTAAACGGTGTTTTGAATATCCTTAGGTATGTTTTGAATATCCTTAGGTATGTGGTCTCAAACCGACCCAATTTTATAAGGTCCGCGAATACCTTTCGATTCTGTATTTGTTGCAAAGATTTCCTTATATAACGTCCGATGTACGTTATTTTCAATACCGTTAAAAACGAATATGAATAATGCACCAAAAAGTACATAAATAGAGCTGATTAATTTACAACTTGATGTAACTTTCGTGTAGAGTGTTTAACGTATTTCGAACGATTCAGAACGATTTCGTAGCCGTTTAATTAAAGTTTAAAATAAAAAAAAAATCTGAAAGCCTTCAGATTATATATCACGCCTAAAGGGGCGTTTTTTTAACGTTTTTTGTGTTACCTTTACTTACTAAATATCGTGTTCTTCGTGTGTAAACCATAAAATTCAATTCAACAGCAATATCACAAAATATTTAAAAGAGCATATCTTTAGATTTCCGATACACAGTCTCGCGCGCTGGAGATAAAAATATTTTTTACTTCTTTGTACGAAGTAAAAAGGAAGTATTGTAATCGCGAAAATTTTCAGGCAGCATATTTAAACGAAAATATCCATTTTGACCGCTGTCGAATGCAATTTAACGATGTTTTTGCGTGACATCTGTACGTAAGGACATGATAAAAGACTCTTTCCCTCAAAAAAAAAAAAAAAAAAAAAAAAAAAAAAAAAAAAAAAACTGCTTTAAAATGAATTCTGAAGAAAATTTTTCGTCGCGTCTGCATGTACGTACGTATTTCGCATAACTCAAAAACGAGTAGCCTCAGAACGTTGAAATTCTGCATATAGGACTGCTATAACATGTAGATGTGCACCTCGTATTTTGGTTGCAGTCGGCCGCACCAAACGTATATAAATATACTTATACGAGGGCAATCCCCCAAAAAAAAGGTCTCCTATATTTTTAGATATACAAAGAACCGTTTATTTTCTATAATTGCTACATCACTTTAAAGATTGAAGAATGCTTTATTTTTCAACATAATCGCCATTTCAGTCGATGCATTTTTGTAGACTCTGTGGCAGTTTTACAATGTCCATGTCATACCAGCTTGCCGCCATGCCCTTCAGGAAGCGTTGAGGAGCTTCAGGAGCATCCAGATGATCCTCCGATCTTTACGCATTTTACGAACTCAACAATCGCGAAACTCAACGAATACGAACTCAACAATTCGTCGGCAATTGACGGCCTCCCGCTCCTTTCTTCGTCACGAATTTCAGTACGACCGGCTGTAAACTTTCTACACCACTTGCGAAAGTTTTTGACATCCATGCACGACTGTCCATACACTTCTGTCAATAGGCGGTGAATTTCAACCGGTTTAACGCCTTTTGCGTTCAAAAATCGAATAACTGCGCGCACTTCGCTCTTGGCGGCAACGTTTATCGGGCGCTCAAATTTCGAACTTCAAGCCATAATGAGCAAAGCTATTCTATTCTATTCTATTCCACTTTCACAAAAATGGCCTTGGCTACTAAGAGCCTTAATCCATTCAGTTTTCGTCATGCCATACAGCCGGTTAGATAGAAAAAAAAATAGTGGTGTAATATACACCCGCACTGAGGCGAAAAATTTAAAGGATTTAATCCTGCAATTTTTGGTGAAATCAAGATAAGCAATTGGCAGTAGAAACAATTGAAAGCGGTAAGTATGATCTCAAATCTCAAGTAGTCAGGTGGCAAAACGGTCAGGTCAGAAAAAAGCGGTCCTACTTCTTCGGCTTCCATACCCTGAATGAGGGAGGAGCACCCAGATTAGTTAGGAGCAAGTGGAGAACCACGTGATGTTCATCAGCAAATCATAAAGAGTTCTTTTACAAAAGTTCTAATTTGACCAGAGCGGTCACATGATATGTACATTAAATGAAATCTTGAATAACATAAAATAAACTTGAGTAATTGAATTCTAGGATAAATAGAAAATATATACACTATTTACAAAATTAAAATCACCATCTTGGATTGTGATGAATAGTACGCGGTCGTTTGACCGTGTATTCAATAGTAGGGATCATAATTTATAATGTTCTGGATAGCCTGATATTCACTATTTCTAATTTTTTCAAAGAAAGTTGTGGTGAAATAGTGAGAATGTGATCCATGAGATCAGGGATTTTAAGGTCTTTTTGAATGTCTCTATTCCTTACAAACCAGGGCGCATTTGTGATAGATCGTAAAATTTTGTTTTGTAGAATCCCAATCTTCTTTCTTTCGTTCTTATTTCCGATAGCCCATGCAGGGGCGGCATATGTAAGGATCGGACGGATGAGAGAAGTATAAAGCACCTTTTTGGTGTGCAAATTTAATTTAGAGTTTCGCCCAATAAGTGGGTAAATAGCCATATATGCAGCATTCCCCTTATTTGCTATGTACTGAAGATGGTTTTTGAAATTAAGTTGTTTATCGATATAAACACCCAGATATTTATATGCGTCAACATGAAGGATAGGGATGTTATTGATTTTTATTTCTGTGTTAACATTTTGCAATTTCTTATATCTTCTATAAAGAACTGTGTTTGCATTTATGAGCATTGAGATTGATTTTCCAAATAGAACACCAGTGTGCAATATTATTTAACGTACATTCTGTAAGATTATTGATGGCAAGTTGGGGTTTTATTGATTCCGAGAGGATTACTGCATCGTCGGCATATTTAAGCACTTTGGAATTAAGTGGTTGTGGTAAATCATTTATATAGATGTTGAAAAATTTTGGGCTCAAAACACTTCCTTGAGCGACGCCGCAAAACATCCTTTTCTTTTTTGAGAGAGTATTACCAATGCGGACTTGGAAGGTTCTGTTTTGCATGAAAGAGAAAATAATTTTGACCAAATTTTTGGGTATTTCAAGATTAATGAGCTTATGAATTAGCCCGGCATGCCACACTCGATCAAAGGCTTTTTCAAAATCGAGGTAGCATGCAGCGACTGCGCTTTTTTTCTGGAAGGCAAGAGCAATAATTTCAACTAAGTTAAGGACTTGGTGGGTAGTCGAATGACCTTTCCTGAAACCAAATTGCATACTATCAATGATGTCATTGTTTTCGAAAAAGTCATTTAGTCTATTGTTTAGAATTTTTTCATAGATCTTTCCCATAGCAGGCAGAAGGCTGATGGGACGGTAACTATTGACATTCTTAGGATTTTTGCCAGGTTTGAGAATAAAGATGACAATAGAATGTTTCCATTGTTGTGGGAAGTAAGAAAGTCTGATACATCCATTAATGATGTTACAGAGATTAATAATACATTTATCAGGTAGGGCTTTTAGTGCTTCGTTATTTATTTGATCAAAACCTTTCGCTTTCTTCGGCTTAAGTGTCTTGATTATGCTTTTAATTTCCTTCGGGGAAGTAAACTGGATGTGCCTTTGTGGAGTAAAGTTACGAATGAAGTTGACTGCTTCGTTTGCTTCATCTTCAGTATCCGAATTGGTAGAAGGGAGGGGTTGATAGATTTTTTCCTGCTCTTCGGCCATGAGGTCGGCAATGTCCTGATCAGAGTAGTAATTAATTCCGGAGTGTTCTATTGCATGTTGAGTATAGCTGTTGTTGTTTTTGAGGGAGCGTGCAATTTTCCAGACATTTTCATGATTTGGCTCCAAATTTTCAAGAAGGTGGTCCCATTTTTGAGTTCTGTACTCTTGGATATCCGATTTGATTTTGCGATTAAGATAGTTAAGATGTCTTTTATCATTAGGATTTCTTGATTGATGCCAAGTCTTGATAGCTTCATTTCTAAGTTTGATTGTGTTTCTAATCTGGATAGGAAGGTTTGTGAATTTTTTTCTTTAACAGAGTAAGAAGCGTTGGAAATAGCGTTTTGTATATTAGTTGTGAATTTATGAATTTCCTTTTCAATTGCATAGCTGTGCGGGTAATGGTTATTGCAGTTATAATTTTGAAGTAAATTGTTAACCAGAGTCCAATTGGTCTTGGTGAGGTGTTTTTTTAATGGATGATAAAATCCGTAGAAGTCAAAAGTGACTGGCAGGTGATCAGAGTTTAAATCATGTGTAACTTCCAAATGTGGTGTTTGATCAATATTTTTGAGTAGTAACACATCCAGGATGTCTCCGGTGCCATCGTGGTGAATTCTAGTAGGGGTAAATGGAGCGACTATTTTAAGGTCTTGATTTAAGAGGTAATTATTAAGAAAATTTCCGTTGGTATTATTAAATCTAGAGTTCCATGCTTGATTTTTAGCATTGAGGTCACCCGCAATTAAAGTTGGGAAATTGGCAGCAGTGAGGTTGTTTAAATCAGTATCGTTAAGTCTATTGCCGGGGGGGGGGTTGTAAACAGAAATGAATAGATATGCTTCGTTCAGTCCACTATAAATAATGGCAGCAGTTTTTTCAATATTGCCAGTGTTTGGGATTTCAAATTTAGCAAAACGGAGGTAATTTTTAATTATGATTGCAGTGCCGCCGCCTCTGTTATGATTTCTGTCATCGCGGATAGTCTTATACCCGGGAAAGTTGATTCGATGGGATTTTCTTAGATGGGTTTCATTGAGTAGCATTATGTCTATATTATTAGTAATAAGAAAGTTTTTAATTTCTTCTTTTTGTTTTTGCACTCCATTTGCATTGAAGAATGTAATTTTAAGGAAGCACTTGCTTGTGGCGATTACTTTATGGGCATTTTTGTATGGATCAGAAGTCATAATCTAATGATGAGAAGTATTCGATAGCTGCCATGACAACTTCAATTTTGTTCATTATATTTTTTGCTTCTTTAAAACTGGTGAGAAATTCTTTTGCTTTAGTAAGCTGCTGTTTTATCCATTCGCAGAAGGAGGGTGGCTCCGGATCTTGTTTTTGAGTAGGAGGAGCGGATACATCCGCTTGCGCGCTGGTAGTTTGTGCAGCAGCTGGTAACGCGGGGAAATCGGCTTGGTTAAGCTGAAATGCCGGTTGCTGTTGTTGAGTTCTTTCTAATTTACGGTTTTCTACAGCTTTTTTAAGGTTGTTAGGGATGAAATTTACATGATTTTGATGAGCTGACATGGTCTAAACCACACAGGGCACATTTTGCTGGATGTAAATTTTTATCTTGTTTGCAGGTGTAACCTTCATGAGGGCCTGCGCATTTTTGGCATCTGGGCTTATAATTACATTTTTCCTTTATATGCCCATATCTTTGACACCTATGACACTGTACAGGTCCTGGGCGGCTTTTATAAGAACATACAAGGACATCAAGTCCGCGTAGCGTAGTAATGTTGAATATTTTCTTCCCGTCATTATTTCTCTTCGTCTCGACGAGGAAAACAGGTAGTTTAATTACTTTTCCATCTTCGAATTTTTCTATTTGTTTAATTTTAGTAATGGGAATTCCCATACTTGCAATTTCACGTTGGATAATTTCCGGATTGGAAGTTCTAGGCAGCTTTTTAATAATTGCTTTTAGCGGTTTCTCATTTTTAAGTTTATATGTGTGATAAGGGATATCCCGTTTTGTTAATAAGTCAGTTGCTATGCGATAATCTTCTGCGTCGAAGACTCTGATAGTAAGGGTGTCACCTTTTAAGTTTCCTTTAATTTTAGTTATACCTAGAGCTTCAAACTCTTCTTTCATTTTGATCCCAGTTAGCTGTAAAATCCTGTAGGACAATAGGAGGGATGTGTGTGGCTGTTTTCCTGGGTAATATAAATTCTCCATTATTAACTTCATTGTTTTGATCAATAGATTCTTCATTATTTAGCTTTTCAAATTTATTTTGTTGAAGTGGTGGGGTAATTTCAGTTTCTGAAAACGTGCGTTTATTAGTGATACGTGGGGTTTTAAAGCCTTCATTGTCAATTTCATTTTTCTTTTTCTTATTTTTATCACTATTGATGCGTTTAATGGGGCTATGTGGATTTTGGGGTGGGATATCTTTTTTAAGATTCTTCGTGTTTTGAGTCAGTTTTTGAGGAGATTTAGTAACAGAATTATTCTGTTTCTCAGTTAGGTCTTTCGATTTCATATTCTGAGTAACTTTTTTGGGGTGAATTATCAGTAGAGATGCATTTTTTCTCTGTACCCTTATTATTATTGCTTTTTATCGCGGGGTTACTGTTACTTCTTTTGAGTGGTTTGTTTAAGCTAATGAACATGTCACAAGTTTTGAGCTTAGCTGAAATTGTTTCAAGATCATTAACAATCTGCTCGTTTTTTTGAGGGGCTGCATTTAAGATTTGATATTCATCTAGGAGTTGGTCTTTCATTTGGCATATATTTTCGAAAGTAGGTTTACCTACTTTGGTAACAATCCACATAAAAGCAGACATATTGCAGTCATTTTTTAATCCGAATTCCTCAATGTGCGATTCCTTAATTCCAAAATTGGAAAATTGACATAGATCAAATAAATGTTGCGAAATCTGACCGTTTGCCATCATGCAGTCGGAATAAACCTGACGTACAAGAGAACAAAGGGAGAGATCTTACCGCATTTTCCTGTGAAGAGAATCAGTCCGTATCCGTAATCCAAGGAGCGGTCCGTAGCCGGAGTCCTCGAGGGAAAACCAAAACGAGGCGGTTCAGTGCCGGTTTGCGAGGGCGAACACCAAAGCAAGCAGAAGCGGAGCTGAAAAAATCCCTGTCTCGTCTCTATGAGCTCAGCGACAGGAATCGAGCATCCGAGCGAAGCGCCTGCGTGCTTATGTGGTAGCGGAGAAGGCACCACTCACAACAGTGTTGCCAACAACCGTATTAAAACTTTCTCTACGTCCCCCAAAAATAGGAGACCTTTTTTTTTGGGGATTGCCTATATCCACTCTGTTACCCGGCTCAGTGATCTCAGTTTCTTTACTCTTATATGCTTGTGAGTTGTGCATTTTTTCCTTTAAAAATGATTGAATTATGTCGTTCTTATCTTCCGATTCAGGTTTTTACGCCTTTAGTAAATCTGCATGCAAATTTTTAGAGTTATCAACAATTTAAAAGTTGTTTAAGTGCGGCTAAGCCTACTTATTTTTGCGATGGCGGTCATGTTTGAAACTTAGCAAAATAGTGGATTTTTTGCCAATCTAGAGAAAGTAAGATTCGCAACAACAAAGATAACACCGCCTTTTGTTATTGCGAATTAAATCATGCTTAATCCATTCTGGAATTTATTCGAGGAAATAAGTGTTTAAGATTTACTTCGTAATTTTTAATGTAGATATTTTTATGTATTTTTGCCTTGTCGCGAAGTGAGAACTGAAATAATTGAAAGAGAAATACTGAATCGCCTGTGAAGAACTGTTTCTTTTTTCTTTTGTTTGCTTATTTTCTTTTATACATCGTTCGAGATTTATTATAGTATTTGAATAGAACATGTGGCAACGATTAGATAATTCTTCAGATGATATAATTTTTGTGCATAAAAAAGTTATAAAATGAATGAGATGTAATGCTGTTAAGTGAACCTAGTGCCACAGTGTTATTATGGTAAATAAATATAGTGAATTTTAAAGAGTGCATTATTCTATTGTGGTTTATGCGCTGTCGGCGAAGTAGATTTAATTCAATTCAATAAGTTTAAATGAAATGCAAGAAAAAATGCGTATCATTTAATATTCCGTACAAGGAAGTCATGCGGTGTACACATCAGATTTTTTTTGTTCAGTGCAGTGTTGCTTTGGCTCTCTTTGAAATAGCTGGTTTCTTAATCAAAAACTCATAAATGCTTTACAAAATATGAAACAGATAATAAAACAAATTCCAAACTTGGGCTTCTACATGCCCATATTCAGTTGGAAGATTACGTTATTCAAAATTGGGTGGCTCTAGTAACGTTGTTTTATCACAATGCGAGAAACATACATACATTGATGCAGATTCTTTTATTTAATTTCTTTAAATGTAATACAGGTGGCAAGAATTTAAAAAAGTGATTCGTCGTTTTTCGTGAATCAACGCAAATTGTCAAAATGAAATTAATAGCCTTTCTGGACAAATTGCCCCTTTGGGCTAATAAAGAGTATTTTTTCAACGTTCGATTTGATAGCCTTTTTTCTGGACTATACGCCTGCATCGTGGACTATACGTGATTTCCATAACAGGAAAGGCTTTTCATAAAATTTCCGGGGTTATGTATTTTCATTTCTCTTCGACTACTTTCCAAAGTTATCAGTCGTCGTGGATTTGTGCTCAGAAACCCACCACGAAACCGAACGCACAATAGTCCTTAGGTGAAACGTCAGCGGACTTCGCAGGAATATGTTGAAAAAAGGTCTATATGCAGTACTTGTAGCAGTCTTTTGTATTCGAGGAATGCACTTGTACTTTTTGAAGTATGATTTCTTGATGAAGTTTCACTCTTTGAAAATCTTTGGGATAAAGAAATGGAATTTTTTTTTTATAAGTATCGGCAGTAATACCTTTTCCTGATAGTACGTCGAGTTGATTTTTTTCATTCTTCTTATTTTTAATTTCCCATTGCAAGAGAATTATGCGACCATCATAAACCCTTTACTGAAACTTTCTTTGTATTGACTGAACCAGGTTTATAAGTTTTTATTTTTTATTTTCGATAACAAAAGACCTTTTTTTTTTTTTTTTTGTTGCAGTCCAGAGGCGTAGCTAGAGTGTCCAGCGCCCGGGAACAACTGAAGAATTCGCGCCTCTTTCTGTGTGCCAAAAATGTAAACTATTTCATTAAAAAATTTCGTAGCATCAATTTGGCGCCCCTTTGATCCTGCGCCAGGGGACAGATGTCCCCCTTGCCCCTCCCTAGCTACGCCACTGTTGCAGTCATTTAAGTAAATCCATGCTCCATGAAGGATGAAAATGTATTTCCTATTTATCTCCCCATTTATTTTTATATAAATAGTTTCATACAGGGTTCTGCATGAAGCTACTTCCTTTGGAAAAAGCTGGTGAATATTGCGTTTTTCAACTTTTTTTAAGTTGTCAGTCCTGGTTTATTATTTTATTTACTTTTGCTGCAGATATATTTAAACACTTTGCAATATCTGCATCAGCGGACTTTCTCTTGTTACCAACGATTTAACTTTAGAAACAGTAGGTAGCTTCACGGTTATTCATTTATTTTGATTTGTTTTATTTTCCTACGTCAAAGGTTCCTGGGTACTCGTTTGGAGACTTCTGTCGAGGTAGAAGTAATGATTGACGGTTTTTCACTTTTCGATTAATAACGTTTTTTATTTTGCACTTCGAAATTTTAATACCATGAATTTTACAACGTTTTTGAATTACGGAAGAGTAATAAAGGAAAACCCCAAAACAAGAGAACTTCGGAAAGCCCCAAAACATATCTTTCAATCCGTAGCTTGTTTACATGCGACATTTTGAAAGAATATGCTATTTAAAATTGTAGCATATGATATTTTTGATTTCAAATAACAAGCTTAATCCAGAAATGTTTCTTCCAAAACATGTGTTTCTTTTTTAATTCTTTATCGAAATCGTCCTAAAAATGTGTAAATACCCTCTGTAGTCAGAGATTTAGCGATACAAATGTGAATAATTTTATTCGTACTTTACAAAAAATAAATACACTCAGTTACGAATTTTTGCGTTAAGAACAATCGGCTTGTTTGGGAATATATTCATATATGAATAGCTATTCCGCCACACACAGCCACATAATTGGGCCCAGGGAAAATCTAAAAGATTTCAGATTTTATATATATATATATATTTTTTTTCCTCGTGCAGTGTTGAATTGCTCGCTTTGAAATCGCTGAGTTTATCAATCGAAAACTTATGCTTTAAAAATTATGAAATAGATAAAACAAATTTCAAATTTGGGCTTCCAGATGCCTATATTCGGGTGAGATGTACGTTATTCAAAATTGGATGGCTCTAAGTGCCGTTGTTTGATCACAATGCGAGAAACATACCTACATTTATGCAGATTCTTTATTATTGAATTTCTTTAAATATAAGACAGGACGATAATATTTAGTGGCAACAATTTAAAAAGTGATTCGCCGTTTATAGTGAATCGACACAAAATGCCAAAACGCAATTAATAGCCCTTCTGGGCAAATTGTCCCTTTGGGCTAAAAAAAATTATAAACCCAAAGAGCGGCTACGATCATCGATGAAGAAAATTCGCAATAATTTCTCTCCGAGGCTACAAACTTATCAGAATCAAAATGACATCGAGTATCATGTTGTAATAAGAAATAAAGAAGTTTATAATAATTGTTTACATACAAGCATATGTACTTTTGTTTATGTGTCGAAGAAAAAATTATTAAATAAAAGAAGGACTATGTTTTCTCATTATTTATTTTCAAATTTTGTTTCTTTTGGAGGGTTGTCTCTGAATCTTTAAAAAGTTTTTATGATTTGTTTCTTCTTAGTTTAATGTGAAGTAAGTTATTAAATGATTAATTGAACATAATAAAATTATTTGAATTTAAATGTCATCCTGAAATTTTAATATTTAGCGGTCAATATGTTTAAAAGCAGCATTGTACTGAGGGGCAAGACGAGAATTTTGTGTACCTTTTTAATGTTTTAGTATTGAAGGCGTCTTTGATAATGCATGGTGGCTTGCCATTCCTAATTTACTAAAGAAAAGGAAAATACTTCATAATGTGTTTAATGTTTGCTAAAGGATAGAACTGTCGAGCTTTTCTTGGTGTCTCCTCAGGAATTCGTCGACCTGAGAAGGGATGTCCTCAAAGTTCTGTTTCCGGCTCCGAGCTTTGGATTATCATTATCAACATATTTCGGGAAATTTAAATTTCATTTGTCAGTAGCTGTAGAGGCTGCAAAATGTGAAAATGCCCTTGTTAGTACTCAGTCGAGTATGTTTCCAATTACGCCACAAAGGCATACGGAAAGGAAAGAGAAAATACCTTATATACTTCTCCTTTTAAAGGGCGAGTGGGATTAGGAGATCCAGTCACCAAATCCTGGTGGTGACGAATTATCTTCCACCACCTATAGTTCGGGTGCCACTTGTCATTAGGTATTTTTAATGCAGGAGACATGAAAACTATGCAGTGCCCTCACCGGAACTCAAACCCTGGGACCTCTAAAATACGAGTATGCTTCCAATTATACCACGAAGGCATGTGGAGAGAAGGGAGAAAATATTTCATATAGTCAATAAATTTTAGGCTGAAGTTTAACCATGCAAAATCTGAGATAATGTTCAGTAGAAGAAATACTACTTATGATGGCTATCAATTGGTTTTAAATGATGGTGAATGGAATTAAATATTTAGGTATTTTACTAGACAGAAAATTTAACTGGAAAAATTATTATTCCTACAATCTCTAATAAATGTGACACACTTCAGCGTGCACTGAATTGAATTGCATGTAGAAGTTTCAGTGTTAAAATCGAATGTTAGCGCAATTATTTATAAAAATGTTTTTCTCTTCATGTCACAATGCTGTAGAGCTTGAGGATTGTCCCTAAAAAATGAAGTTTAACTCTAATCGTCTGCTTTAAGTTCAGAGGCGAATTCTGCTGCGAGTTATCAGGAATTACCGAACTGTTAGTTATGATGCTGTCTTCGCTCATGATGGATTTCCACCGTTGGATATATTTATTCTGCAATGCATAGGTTACGAAAATTCCGTTTGTAATTGGTCCAGTTTTCTACTACCCTTGTCTGCTTTTCCTCATTCATCTTTAAGACAACCAGTACAAATTTTGTATAATATGATGAAAATTCATTCTCAGTTGTGCGTTATACGGATGATAGTAGAATGAATAACAAAGTTTGTATTGCTTATGTCATCTATGAGGATGTTGTTGAAATTAAGCACCACCAGTTTCGTATTAGAAATGAATGTACTGTTTATATTTCCGAACTTCTCTAAGTTCTTATAAGTTTTACAGTTAAGGGGGTATTTAGCCAGGATAGACGTTTCCAGCTACTTAATCAACACTGATTCACTGTCTTTCCTGGGGCTCTTAAAAAATACCTTATCATGTAATGAAATTATCAGTCTTTCGGGGATTTACTTGAAAAGGGTATTTCGGCGTTTTTCACATCTGTTCCTGGGCACGCTAGGATATACGGAAATAAGAGAGCTGATTGGCTTGAGGCACTTAGAAAAGATATTAATGTTGATGTAAATATTTCAAAATCGTACTTTGAAAAAATATTCAAAGCTAAAATATTTGAACAATGGAATTATGATTATATCACTTCTGATAAGGGGAGTACGAAAATGTTCTTTCCAATTATCTTTGAAAGACTGAAAAATTAGGGCTTATTGCTCAATTTTAACGCAATTTTTATCTGGGAGGGAAAGTTTAATGTTTGTCTCGAATGGTTTAAGCTGGTCATCCATTTTGTGCTGTTGTGATTTCGGCGTTCAGTAAAAACTCTTTCGCATACTTTTTGACTGCCCTTTGTTAAATCATGCGAGAAATTCATTGAAATGTAGACTGTTATTAATTGGAATTAATTTCCCACCGAAATATAATGAATTTGTTTCTCTGCCTTCGGCCTAACTTGCTTTTAATGCCTTTGTTAAGTCTTATTTTAAATAATGTACATTATTTTCTGTGCATTTTATTTTAAAATCATACATGCTTGATTCATTCGTATTAGGAGCTGAAATATTAATGGCTAAAGTGTTTTTCTTTACTTACATTTCATAAGAATTATGTGATACTTTATAGTGCATGAAGGGAAAATTTTGTTCTCCCTTTCAATTAAGAAAAGATATATTAGAATTACAAAGCTGTACAAAAAAAAAAAAAAAAAAAAAAAAAAAAAAAAAAAAAGTCTTGCAGGTGAAGAAACATTAGATTTTATACATGTTTTGATAAATATTTAGAAAGACAAGCTTAAAATCTAGTTAAGATACACATACATTGATAAAGAAAAAAGTTCATTTTGCTAAAAAAAATTTTGGCTATCGTGTATTCGGCCTGCATGCAATTTGAGTTTGAGACCACTGCCTTAGGTGATTCTGCCGCAATATATATTAAAAAGTCAGATATTCCCATTCGCAGGTCAACTGAAATAGAAACAAATTTCTATCGAAGAATTATTTGCTGCCACTATGACACTAGGCATATTTGTTAATCGAATTGAAGCGTCTTCGGTGTGCGGATGTGCTATAATATTCGACTTCACAGGCTTTTCTTTAGAGCAAATTTTTAAATTTGCATCACCAAAATTTGTCACTTTCATGTTTAACAGCATACAGGTAAGCACAAAATAAGTATAAAACATTTACTAATTAAATACTTTCTCACATATTTTCTTTTCTTAGCACTAAATTCTGAAAATTCTAAAAATATTCACATATTTTCCCCCACTAAGGGCTAGTTTTTTGGTAAACTGTATACCCTTAATTATTTTTATTCAGTGTATTCAATTTGTATTTGTATTTTTATATTAGCATTTCATCCATTATATCTCGCATTTATTACTTGAAACATATTTTGTGTCGATTCTTCGTTAAAGCTACCCGACATGGCAGGTGTTCTCACATTTAAGCAACTTTCCAAATACATGATTTCACCTTACCTCAGTTATTTACGTTCCAATTCATTGCAGCCTTATCTACTGCTGATGTGTTCGATCTTTCGAAATCTGGGACTTTTGTTCTCCCCCTTCTTTTTCCTTCCCTTCCTCAGTGAACCGAAGGTTCAGTGAAATGGGCACCTGGTTAAAATCCTATCCCAGTAGAACAGCAATTTTTTATTTTTCGAATGTTGTCATCTACTATCAATTAACAATAACTAAATCAAGTGAGAATGTTTTGTCTTTTTTCCAAATAAGGATTAAAATTATTATTCTGTTAGAGCTAGATCGTAAGTCACAAACAATATTCAATTAATAAAAGACATTAGTCCATTTCAGCCAAAAGAACTATCATAATATATATATAAAATTAAGACATAAAGTAAGAAATTTAAAACTAATATTTTACAAACACCCAAAATTGAAATTCATAATTAATAAATTTCAAATTTTTCTGCAAATTAATGTGCGAAAATACTAGGCATGTTTATATTTGATTTTCAAAAGAACTGTTTTATAATTATATGTATACAATGGCATTAGGTCTAATGTCTATAAAGTAGCCATTTGAGTACATTTGAAAGTCTTAGTTACCGAGTCTTTATACTCCGTGGTTTTAGTGGGATAGTGAATTAAGTCAGTTGGTGCATAACTACCCTGTCTTTTAAGCTCAACAGGATGAAAAGTTAACTTTCAGTTTTGTGCACCGAAAATTTCGTCTTTCTGTCTGTTGACCGAATTGCTTTTTTTTCCTGCAGAAAATCTAATTTTAATTGTAAAAAAATTTTTTTAACTATTTTTAACTGTATCTGGGTTTTAGGTTTTCTGTATTTTAGTTTTCAATGAAGATTTTTGAACTTTTATGTATTTATTGATTGAATGAAAAATATCTCTCTAATGAAATTCAAGGAAATAAGTTTAAATGAAGTGCAGCAAAAAAAAAAAAAAAAGTATAATTTGATAGGTTGTACAAGAAAGTCGTGGTGTTCCTTATGAGATTTTTTTTTCTTTTAATTTCAGGACTGTTTGCCTTACCGAATAAGGAGCATGCACGTGGTTAATGAACCAGCACTTTTCAGCATCTTCTATAACATTGTAAAATTTGCTATACCAAGCAAACTCAAGGACAGAGTAAGTGCTTCATTTAACAATTTCAACCTATTTTCATGTCACTTCTTAGAAGAATATGATAAGCACACATTATCACTTAACACATACAGAAATTCAGCTAATAGATTTTAAAAGATTGCCAGAATCGAAAATTGAACATATTAAGAGTAAATGTTATTGGAGCTAATGTGCCCAAATTTTATTTAGTTGTTTAAGAAATATGTCTAGAATTAATATACAGAACTTAATATTAAAACCAGAGTAATATAAATATTTTTATCTAGTTCTCTCTCTGTGTAAAATTTTCACACACTTAATTCTTCTATGAAAGTTACAAACTAAAGTACTTGGCATTACCAGGTCTTTATGCAAAGTGAAGAGGTTTCATTTAGGGGGAGTGGGCAGTTTTTCGAAATCTTGGGTAGACTGTGATTTTCCTGTTATTTTGTTTCAAGCTGAATTGTGCAAAATTTTACCAAGATCGAATAAAACTGTGAAATAGTGCAGAATTAAGATGGTGCCATTTAATAATTTTAGTCAGAAATGATATTTTTTTATCAGTTATGTCTTTTTTCAGAAAAATCACAACCCATTTTGGCCAATTTCTTCATCGTTTTTTAAATATTTATGAAAAAAGACAGTGAACTTGAATTCCACTTAACAGGTTCTGCACTATTTTAAAGAGTAAATGAACACGGCACCATCTTATGGTTTTAGCAAGAATTGATAGCAGGAATATGACAATGGTGGCATGAACCTAGGCTGGGTTATGTGATTTAAAAATCGAAACTGTGTAGAAGTAATTATTATTATTTTTTTTGAATAAAAAAAATTATGATTCCTTATGTAGCATGTATGTTGTCCACTAATAGCAGGAATGCAACAATGGTAATGTCAACCTAAAATGGGTGTCGTGAGCACCACAGTCAAATATAAAAACCCTATGTGTGGGCCCCATAAGTTTTAAATTATAATAATTACATTATTTAAAACTTCAGATCAATATTAAATATTTTTTTAAAATTTTGATAATATTAAATTGGAAGATATGTAAAATTTAAAATTAAGCAACAAAAGAAGGGGGAAGAAAGCAACTTAACTGTTATGTAAAATTTATACCAAACTAACATTGTTTTTTTTACCCAAATATAAACCTTGATAATGCAAAAAGATCAGTGTTTTTGCTATTTATTCAAAAACGAGTATGTTTAAAGATTGTTTACTATTTAAAAACAATTTATTTCACATTATTCAAAGCTTGAATAATTTCATGATCTGAATATCATTATCCTTGAAAGCTTCAAATTTTTATCTTCCAGTGGAGTAATAAAAAAAGATATTACATTATGCAGTCAAAAGACAAATTTCATTAATTAAAATCTTTTTCTTTATACTTTTCCTTATAAATATTCCATTTAAAATGGTTTTATGAATGAACTCATTTTAAATACATGGTATTTATTAGTTGGAAGTTCTTTCTGATATGTATCTTTATTTTATACATTTTTAGTAGAACTAAACATTATTTTTCGTTATTATTCCCATAAATAGGAAACTCATTTCTTTTCTTGTAATGATCAGATTTACGGGGCCAGCAGTCTAAAACAGTTTTGGTAAAAAATAAATATATACAAAGTCCATAATCCAGACTCGTCGGGACTTCGGCAATTCTGGATTAGGGGGTTTTTCAGATTATAGATCATCAATTTAAATCTGGTAAGATGGCATGCAGAAATTATACAATTAAAAATTTGAAACCATAATTTATGAAATAAAGAGCAGTTATGATCTAAAGGGTATCAAAATTTACACACACACACCAAAAAAAAAAAAAAAAAAAAAAAAAAACACCTTATTATTTGTTTGCTTAATTAAACATTTCTTTCAACGCGTGCATGCGTAAAGCATACACAAGAAAAGTTTGTGGCTTTTGAGGTCCGGATTATAGATCATTCCAGATTACGGACTTTGTACTGTATAACAATCTTCATGAATGCTGCTAATGTAATTTTGCAGGCCCAGCTACTATTTAATAATAACACTGCGGAGAAATTTGTAACACAATTTCTGTCGAGTTCGATTTTTGAGCCTTTTTCAGAGTTAAATAGGTATGTTGGTTTCAAAGCTGTAGTTAGTTGTTTTGTACCACTGCAAGTTTTTTTCCCTACACTTTGTGTGAATGTGCTTAATCTCCACAGCATCAAGCATGTATCATAGGAAGTACTACTGCTCTCTTAATGGCTGACATAAACCCTCCAACTGGTGCCGGTGAATGATGCCATAGGAGACCAGTGACAGATGCATACTTGTCTAGACTAGTTGAGTTACTGTAGTGAGATGTTGTTTGTTGCCCTGATATAGTTAGTGGTGTTCATCCCTATATGGAGTATTAGTTCTTGTTTGTATACAAGGTTAGCAGTGTTTACTTTCTATTCATATTTGAACTGAAGTCTGCTTCTATTAGTTCACATCGTAAGTACTTAAACAGCCCTGGTTCGTTTTGTTATGTATGTGGCAATTTTACCACTCACAGTCAAAGAACAAATATCAGGACATTTGCAGGCAAGCATATTTTAAAGTGAAAATTTTAGGATGAGGATGAAGGAAAAATGTTCTAAATTTTCATTTGGTATATGTATGATTTGGCAAGAGAGATTTGTCAGATTTCGTTGAGTTTTTAATAAAAAATTCTTTACAAAATATAAAATAAATCAAAAACAATTTTGAAATTCAAAATTCTGATTTCAAGGTCTGTTCAAAATATGGTAGCTTTAGGTGCCCTTGTGTTACCACAGTGCAAGGAACAAACATATATACATGCATGCAGATTCTTCATTATTTAATAAGAGAAATTATCTATCTAACATTTAGTCCAAAATGTTAGTTAAGTTTATTTTTATTTATTTTTTTAAAATTCACTACCTTTTAGATATTTGTGCATGGAAAAAACTTGGAGGAACTTCAAAAGCATTTTCCTCCAGAAATACTTCCAGAAGAACTAGGAGGAACAACAGGGCCGATGGACAGCTCAGAATTCTACAACTATGCTCTCAACCATGAATCTCTCATTGAAGAGATGATTAAATGTCAGTTTCAAAGGAAAGCATCATGAAAGTCTGAATGATAAACTGATAAAATTATAGTTCTACCAGATTTAATTTATTCTAAGAAATTATCTCATTTTTTTAGCATGCAAGAACTGAAGTCATCAAGACCATGTAATCCCATGATGAGCAGAAGTTTTTATTATTTCAACAGACTTCACTGTTTGGAAACAAAAAGAAAATACTTTTTAATGCTCAAAAGACAACAATTATTTGAAAAATCACTTTTAATCTAAAGCATGGGAACAAGATTAAGTACTTTATTCCAAAACTGAAAAATATTTTAGTACATTGTAAAGGGACATACCTAATTAAAGTTTATTATAGTTAATAAATAAAAACTTTTTATTTATTTTATTGTGTTTGATGCCTAACTTTCAATCCTTTTGGGTCAAAAGCATTGTTTTGTGATATTTGGTGGATTTGGCTCAATTTGACATTACAGCTGTGCATCAACTTGGCAAATCATTGCTCTTATTATTGCGGATGGGCCATTAGTGACACCAAACAAAATTTGGAAAAATTAGCGAGTAATCAGGAATAAGAAAACCAATTTTGTATGTGTCAGTCTCCCTTAAGCGAATGCTACGAAATGCAGATTTTATTATATTTTTATATTCGAACAGTAGTGTTTGCCTGTGGTGTGTAAAAGTGATCAAAACAAAGATGTTTCAAACTGCTGAAACAAGTTGCTGAAACAAAGATGTTTCAAACTAAAATTTATTCTGGCTGTTTTAAATTTCAGTTTGAGCTGGGTAAGAATGTAAGGCTTATGTTTGTGTTTTGTATTACAAGGATTAAAAAAAGAAATACCAAATGTGTGCAACAAGGGTAGTTTGCGGTTGTTGCTGTGAATAAAAAAATAAATGTTATTGGTTCATGTAGTCCTTGTTAGCGTTTTCATAAGTTAATGCTAATCAACTTCATCTCTCCATTCTACACTATTATTTAATGACTTAACCTTCCTTTATATTATAAACTGTTAGATTATAATTTTTTATAACTTACTTGAAATTATAACTTGTAGCGAAAGTCCTTATTCAACCACACTATAGGCAATCTTTGCCACAAGACTTTTGTATCCCTTTCAGGAAGGGAGATACCAGATAACAACTTCATTCATTGCCAATAAAACTTTTTTCTGTTTAATTAGTTTTCCTTTTATGGGAGGTTTGGTAATAATAATGTGTCATAATTGTTAACTTTGTTACTCTAAAATTAGATAATTTGAAGCGTTAATATTAAATTTCTATATAAATTAATTTTCAGTCAATTACAAAGGCACCTCGACCTGAAGCAATTACAGTCCACTTGTATGTAATCAAAATATGTCTTGTGTGGACATGAGAATTACAACATTGGTTTAGAATACCATTCGTTTAGTCACAACTGTAGGCATTACCCTTGAAATTACTTATTTCAAGACAATGATTGATTTTGAACAAAAGTATGTTACTTGAGAAAATTCATACTTTATTAGTCAAGGAAGGTTTTCCCAAACAGATGGATGTCAAAAATTTGCAGATAAATACTATCCCAGCAATGTTCAAACAAGCCATAACAGTATTGCCTGGAATGATCAATCATACATATCATACAGATTAGAAGGCTCAGACCCATGCCATCGAGTAGCCAATACACAAGTTATGTCACTGTAAGGCTTCCAAAGAGACCGAAATCCTGGAGGACGACTATTTGATTACTTTTAATGACCAAATAATGCCACATTTTCGAAATACTTTCAGAAGAAAGCAGAAGCAAAGTTCTTTGGTCAGATTTTTAGTAAAAGTCAGATGTGGTAAATCTCATCCTCTATCAGGTCTAAGGGACTTAACAGAAAACGGATTAATCAATTTGGTATATTTTCTTTTATGTACACTATATATTTCACTCTTTATATTTCTATTTTAGTACTAAAGAATGTTATAATAAGAATGAGGATTTTTTTACAAGAACGAATAAACCATTTTCCTACTATTTCCTACTGGAAAAGTTCATTTGACATATATCAAGGTACCATTAAAGTTTAAAAGCAATCTTTTTAAGGAAGATTACCATATAAAGAATGTGAAAGCAAACAACACATAATAGATTTTAAAATTTAAGTCTGAGGTTCTCAATCAAACAATAAATTTCCAGGAAGATTATAAGTTTAAAAACATGTCAACAGATACACATTTTATGATTTATAACAGCAAATATATAAAATTAATGGGCCAGCAGCGCATGTGCACCTGTAACTATGCATAAAGAGAAGTATTCACATAACTGTATGAGAAAGCATTTTGTTTATAAAATGTAACACACCTCACTTAAACATATGTGCATATAGATATCTGTCTGTGTTGAATGGATATAATTCATATGTACTTACATTTATTTGAAAAAGTAAGCGAACATTTATCAAATAATGTAAAAATACTATACTTAAAATGCAAAATACAAATTCATGAAATGAAAAATTTATGTACAAACACAGGTTACAGATAATAAAGAGCAGCACACTGTACTTTCACAGAGTATACAAGGGTAATGGGAATAAAAATTAGTTTGCAGAATCATATTTTTCTAGCAGTTGAAAATCGATTCATTTTGTCAGGTAGTGTTATTTAGATGTCACTAAGATTCACTTTTCGTCAAAAGTAACTGCATTTAGTACAATTATTAAAACTATGAAAATTAAAATAAGAATGTTTATTAAAATTATTCATTACAATTATGAGCATTGGTTGTCCAAAGATAAGGATATCTAATATTTGTTCACTGCTGAAATAACAACTTAGTAAAAGCAATTTTCAGTTTTGTTCCAAGTAAGGAAATTAATACAACATTAAGTAAAACTAATTTTATTAGTTTTCATTTCTGGTCCACAGATAGATGCAAATCCTTCCCAACTGTGTAAGCTGTAACATACATCATTGATGGAGAATGTTTCCGATACGTTGAAAGTGCTGTTTCACGAACTTCATCCCAGTTGTACAGATCCCTAATAAAAGAGGCAGGGGTGGGGAAAAAATGATGGTAAATACTTTAGACATTAATTTAATAAAGAATTTCCAGTTTTTGAAATATATAAATGATTAATGAAAGTTAAAAAAATTCTTAATACAATGAATTTTGAAATCCAGGAAAAAAAAATAATAAATAAATAAATAATAAAAAAAATTAATAAAAATGTTTGAACTAAAGAATATGGTGAGCTACAAGACAAATTCCTCTGCAATAACAAAATTTGTTTTTCCTCATGCACTACAGCCTAATTCAAGGCTAGTCTAGATAGTTTTCACCATCAAATCTATCATACACCATGGTACTTTATTTGCTTTAAAGTCACTCCTAATACAAGCAAGGCACAGATATAAAAAAACTGTTAGGCTTATGGCTTTCCCATCAGTGGTAAATGGATTTTGCACAATGTTTGCGACTACATCAAAGGAAGTGTGTGTGTCAACAAAAATGATATTAATAAATTTCATATTATAGTGCAACTTATAGACTATAAGTAAGTGACTAAGCATTAACAATATCAGCGATTGTACGTCTGTTCAAAGTAGACCATGAAATGTTTTTCAACTTCTTGTTCTGTTTATACACTTATTGAGTTGTATGTCCAGAAGCTATGCAAAATATTTATCTTCACAACAAATGTTTGGTAGCAAAGCGTTAGCGATTCTTGATCATTAATTTCAACATTTTCAATGATACCAGTATTAGTAAGAATTTGTAATGATGTATATTACAGGGTTATCAAAGTAATATCAGATCATATAAAAGGCATAACTAGTGTTATACACCAATAACAATATTTAGAATTAACCTTTGTGAATGACTTGGGGAAACTGGCTCATATAAAACCATGAAAACCAGAGTAAACATGAAAATACTATGCAGGCAGCCTGTTCAATCACCAGCAACAGAGCCAGAGATGGATCGCCAGTGTTTCAAAGCTTTAGTAATTTGGCCAATGATAAAAAATTTTCAAGTAGAGCAGTTTAATGTGTTATGAAATAATGATGAGAAACGAGGTTAAGGATGTATTTAACATTAGAAATCGTAACTAAAAAAGTATATTTACTCTTGTTTGATCTTGCAGTGACACTGATACATGGATTTGAGATAAGGCTTAATATTAGTTTTAATGGTTGTAATAACATACAGCTACTAAAAACAAGACTGTACATGAAACAAAATTTTAAACAATGAGAATAAAAAATGATATTTAGCAGCTCAAGAAAGAAGTAAAAGAATTTTCATTTATTAAATTACTTTCATACTTCAGATACAGAAAATTCCATTTGATTAATTTACACTTTTAAATAAAGTAAATCACAAGGAAAATTTTCATAAAGAAAAGAGATTACAAGTTTATATCTAGATAAATCTGTAAAGTAATTAAGTTTTAGGAATTACCTTTTTTTTATTTAATGAATATAAACCCTTTTATTTTGGAAAATATAATTTTGATTATTTGTTTTTTTATGCTGAAAGAAGTTACTTAATATAAAGCTAGATTACAAGCAATAACACTAATAAATAATAAAATAAATGATAGCACATGATTAAAAATTATCTTACACTCTTGACACAAAAAAATGTTTAACGAAGATTTAGGTAATTGAGTTACAAACTTGCCTAAAGTTATGTTCTGTACTTTACATTAGAAAGACACATACAAGAAACTCAGTATAAAAGTTAAAAATGGCATTAAATTAGAGGTGGAACAAATCCTAAGTTTTTCTTGAATCCGAAACCTTTTCTCAAATCTTTCAAAATTTTTCATTTAAAATAATAATAATAATAATAATAATAACAATAATAGTGTTAAATGAAAAAAAAAAAGTTAAGAATAGTTTACAAAAATAAATTTATGTTTGTTAAGAAGATAAAAATGAAATTTTGTAAATAAATACATAATTAAAATACTTGAATTCATTTTCTCAATATAATTTGAGGAGGGCAGACATTGAGTAACATTGCAAATTTTTTACAGTTTCTACATTTTTTTTAGATCCAAGTAAATGTAGGAGGAAAGGATTATTTCAAGAAACAAAACATGAAATTAAATTCTCCCAAGAAAGTTAAGAAAAATAAGGAATAAAAAGTTCATAAAAGCACACTTGCAGTGTGTAATTCAAGGTCTGTATAAGCATGAAAATTTGAGGATTTTTCAATATTTTATCCCTATATAAAGCAATTACCTGTATATTGGTCGCACAAATTTCATACGTCCTTGCTCCGTGGCAAATTTTACGGCATGGGGTACAATATCTTTCCAATGAGCTCTTAAGCCTGACCTGATCCACCTTTAATAACAAAGAAACAAAAAAGAGTAAAATACAAAAACTATACAGTTAAAAGTTAAATATGAAACTGAAGTAAATAAATAAATAAAAAATGTTACCTAAAATGAATTTCAGAATTTTTCATAGTCCCAATTTTATATACTTCATCTAATTTTTCTAATTTTTTCACCGACAACGGTTCCTAAAAAATGAATAGATTTTATGTGACATATATACATACACATATGTAAAATATACACGTACATTTATAAAAATGTAAAGAATAATATACAATTTGCAGTTGATGTATAACTTTTATGTAATCTACTGGGTAATTAATAGAAAAATCCATCAGTATTTTTTAAACAATGATTTGAAATCCACAGATATACATATATTATATTAAAGAATAAATCACAGCAATGCATACAGAATACCCAGGAATAATTTTTTAATTCAAGAGTATAATTAAAATGGATAAATAAGCTGATTTGCACATTAAAATATCCAGTTAATAAATTAATTTTGATATTTAAACTGGATCTAACAATTTACCTTCAAATAATATATTTCAGCATTCCTATTCCTGATACATTCACTTAACAATTTGTTAAACAAAATGTAACTCAAAATAAAACAGTGTAATTTTATTAAAATCGTTTTGCCTTATGAAAGTGAATTTTTATTATTAAAAGATTTTACTATATTTATTGTCTTAGTGTTATTTAAATTCAAACAATGTTTAATTCAACGAGAATCTAACCAACGTGAATAAAAATACCCATGATACAGTAATGGAAGAATTAAAGGCAGTTAAAAAAAAAAAAATCCTTTGTCCTCACCTAAAGGAACAGATTTTACAAAATCAAAGAAAGAATTTATTTTAATTGTTAAATATTTAAAACAAACTGAAAATGTGGAAAAGTTATATTTTATAATCTCCATCAACACTTGCTGAATGAACACTCTCCCTTGCTGAAATTTTGTGCTTAAATACATTCGAGATTATTTAATTTATCATTCAATATTTTAAACTTTTTAAGAATGCTGCATTTTTCAAATTAAATAAAACATATACTATCCTAATTGCTATTCTCAAAATACTAATTCTTAAACCATTTTTGTAATTCAGCGATAAAGCCTTGCATCACTTATTTCATTAGTGATTATAATGCCATACTTTCAAACCATGTAACATTTTAGCTTAATTAGCTGGAATGTTAATGATTTAATTAACCTGAGACTTTGTACTTGAAATATTGCAACACCCATACACTATCATTTGCATTTGAAGATGCCAACTGCAGTAAGGCAAAAATTTTTTAAACTGATATGCTCTAGTAATTTATCAAAGTACCCAAACTTGAAAAATCACTGAAACATTTCCTGATAAGCAGAAGAATGAAGTTATGAAAAGCAGAAGATACTTTCAGTCATTATTCTCATGTAAAGAGCCAGACTGGTCAATATTAAGGATGGTCTGGTTATTTTGATTATTTGGCACAAGTACAGTTTTAATCATAAATCAATTGAATGATTATAAAATATGCTAACTGCTTCAGAATAAACTGAAATTCTTGATAATTAAAAGTGATTATCTGAAAAGTAAAAAGTATCAATGAATATGTGATTTTTGCACTTTACAAATAAAGATAAGGCCATTTGTATTAATAAAAACGTTTTTCTATGTAAGCACAAAAATATTTCCTCTGAATTAATTTGCTATATAACTATTAATTTGTTTAAGATTTAATCATTTTATTTTATTTCCTCATAATTTATTTATATTTTTAATTTAGGCTTAATGTATAAATTGTATGGAAGTATTCACAAACTCATCAAATATTATAGCAGTGTGAGTGTTATTAAATATTATGGTGTTGGGTGGTAGGTAGAGAAACTTTATAAACTTGAACTCTTCGAGTAAATAATCGAGATTTAGTGGGTGAGCAGGGGCATTGTTGAGGATGAGAAGGGCTTGCATGGGTAGGTTGTTTTCCTGGAGATATTTTTTTAACAGAAGGGTCAAAAAACAGGTTTATCCACTCCACAGAGAATTTCCTGGTGACCCACACCTTCAGATTTGCCTTCCACATAATTGGCAGTTTTTCTTTTAAAATCTTATGTCACTTAAAGGCTCTGGGATTTTACGAATGATATACTAGCAGAGGCTTGATTTTGCAGTCGCCACTCGCATTGGCGCAAAGCACTAGAGTTAATCTATCCTTCATGGGTTTGTGACCTGGCATCGTCTTCTCCTCTGCCATTATGTAAGTCCCATTCGGCATCCTTTTCCAGAAAAGCCCCGTCTCGTCACAGTTGAAGACTTGCTGGGTATGTATCCTTTGGCTTCTATCAGTTCAGAAAATGTTTTGATGTAAACCTCAGCTGCCTTCACATCCGAACTTGCTGCCTCACCATGGCTGATGGAGTGAATGCTGGTCCTTTTCCTAAAGTTGTCAAATCAGCCCTGACTAGCTTTAAACAAGTCTTCTGATTCCTTGTTTGTGGAAGTATGTGGGATCTGCTTCAGCAAATCACTGTAAATCGCTCATGCTTTCTCACATATGATGCTTTGTTTTAAGGTTCCCCCTTGAAGCTGCTTCTCTATCACCCACACCATCAGTAGTTTCTCCATCTTTTCATGGAGAGAGGTCCAGAGCTTAGAAATTATTGTAAGCCCTTAACTGGTGTTATACCCTTTATCAACTTTTTCTGTTTAAGCACAGTACATATCATTGGTGTGCTACGCCCGTACATACTCGCCAAGTCAATTACTCGCACACCTTGCTAATTTTTTTCTATGATTTCATGTTTTAATTCAATAGCCATCATCTTCTTTGGACCCATGGTTATAAAAATAAATGCAATAATGTTTTGAAAATGTACAAAAATCAAAAAAACACAAACCCAACTTATCAAAAATGCTTCGAAAACGAGGGAAACAAGCACACAGACTGAGGTGGGAGAAACTGTTAGACGCTGCACACAACACCAACATGTGCACGCACATTGTGGTCGTGTGCAGCAATGTAGTGTGTGATCCCTCATATTTCAAATCTTGCTCTCATCTCAAAGCAAAATATTGCTTGCTCAGCGGCTCATATATCGAAACACTCGTATATTAGGGCACTCGTATATCGAGGTACTACTCTATTTCAAAAGATACATTTATCAACCATTGGGAGAGGAATGGGAATAATCACAAAATATTGTGCAAGATAACAAAGTGGAATTAACATTATTTGTATAATGTCGACACATTGTAATGTACGATAGTCTCTTAATAATCACAATTTCCTAAATGTAGATGTTTATTTACATGACAAAATCAATAATCTTGCCAGGAAGGTTGCTATATGATAAGAACAGCTGTCAAAGATGTTCAGTGATGTAGACCTATAAATTTTCCCATTCATAAAATGACTGCAAAACATGCTAATGTGGCATTAAATCAGTTCAAAAACACTGATTTCACCTAAAAGATTTTTTAAGTGAACCCCTGCTGAAGTGGCTAGAGGCTATGGATTCATCAAATCTAGCTTTGTATATTAGCAAAATATGTCATTTACTACCACAAATGTGTCATCTATTAGCTATGAAAATGCCTATTTTGTATTTTACCATAATCACACACTAGGATACTATGTTTCATATACGGCTCTACAGGCGAGCTGTATAAAACATTGTGCTTAAGGCAATGAGAGTATTAGGCACCACAAAAAGGTATTTAGGAACTCGGGAAAGAGGTGCCACATAAATTTCCTACTGCTGATTTTACCATGGAATACATGATGCAGGTAAACCAAGACAAGAGGAATAGGGAAAAAAAATGGGCATAAATATTTTATGGGCAGCAAAATCTTTTAAATGCTTAGGGCCTCTGAAGTCTTAATCTGAACCTGACCTACAGATACAATACATGACAAGTCCTATGATACACTTTGTAAGGGCAACAGGAGTGATATGACTTTTGTACTTGATGCAAGAAGAAATGAAATATTTCTTAGAGATATAAAGAATAATAATGAAAAAAAAAATTGATGAAAATCATTACTCTAATAAGGCCCACTTTTATCATATACTGCCACGTTCAAATTATAAAACTCCTCAAACTACATAAAAGTTTTGCTGCATTTTTTAAGGGCAACAGTACAACATAAATTTACAGCCATTTTTACGAATAGGGCTCAGTAATTTTTATTATTTCCACTTCTTAATTTTGCCTTTTAATATTATAAGGCAGTGCTTAAGCCCTGCCCATCTCTCATTGGTGGAACGATCTGTTATATATGCTAGTACTAAAAAATGTGGGCAGATTAAGCCATACTATCTATTATTCCTAGTTATTTTGGCCATACTGATCGCTAATTCTCACCATATACAACTTTTTGAAAGATACTTGAATACAGAAAAATCTCAAATATGAAGGAAAGAATTAAACATTGCATTTTGGCTGCTTCAATTTTTACGTCATATATTTAAAAAAAATAACCTCGTTCTTTGAATGAAATTACTATTGAACATTAATGGAGAACATACTGAAGAACAACAGTTCTACTCAAATTATCCACATATTCAAAGCTCTATCACTAGGTATGGCACTGTAATCTATGGCTACATATTGTTACAAATTTGCAACAAATTTATTTTTACAATAAATGTAAAAAAAAAAAAAAAAAGAAAAAAGAAGAATATTTTGGAGTACTTGCTGTCTAAATTTTTCTTCAGCATAAACTTTAGAACTTTCTAAAAAGCACACTTAAATAGATCTACTTTAAAACCAGTATCTCAACAGGGTGCCTAAAGAAACATTTCCCAGAATTTTTGTTTTTGTGATATCTGATTGGTGGATTTGTGTGAAAACCAGTTCTTTGCAGAAATCATATGAGGGACAAAACTTCAAGTGAAACATTTTCAGTTCAATTTCAAAAAGTCCTGCATAATTAGCTGGGACACAAGATCTAGTGAAGCATGTTTGAGCTAGGAACCTTTCAATGGTAGGAAATGGACAAGCTCATTTTTTGGAAATGTTTCTTCTAGCCTCATGCAATAACCCAATAAGAGATCTGGACAAACTAGAAACAATAAATTATCATAATTTTACAGTGCATTTCTGTAAATATCAATGGCATTAAAAATATTGATACAGGTACTGCATTTGGTTACAATACATGATTGTTACGAATTCTGTACATAAATGGCCGATTTTAGTTTTATTGTGTGTGAAACTGTTTATTTCTTTTGTATAATGTAACATGAAAATCTATAGGAGGGAAACTTGCCAGAAAAGTAAGAATACAGGGGCAAGTCTATTTAACATTGTACTCAATGTTAAATAAAATTTGGCAAGATATTGCCAAGCTGGCAACAATTTTGGTGACTAATTTTTGTGAGTCGCCAAACTTGCCAACATCTTGGTCCAAGCCCTGTATCACAGTAATGGGCATAGTAACTGAATAACTGTAATTGATATTGTATGTAGCTGTAACCAGAATTCGACCCTCATATGACTTTCAGTAGTTTTGAGCAGCAGAAAGTGCTAGAAATATCTCAGTGGCCGGGTGAAAACTATATAAGGCCGGAGAGAGCATCTGCCCAAAGTTGAAGCTGTTGTTGTGAGCAACTTCGGAGTATTGAAAGCTTCACCTTTTAGATGTGTTTTGCATTGTGTCTAACGTTCTTAGTAGTTTGAAGTGTACCTACTGATTGCATTCTGTGATACTGTGAACCTTATGATTATTTCCAGAACTCTGAAATTTTTTTTTTGGGGGGGGGATAAAATAAATTTCATCAACCTATCATCAGACCTGTGTGCATTCGATCTATTGCGAACCCGTACATATGCAACAACAATAATTTGCAATATCTAATGCAGCCAATTTGTGTTAAGCAAGTTTTATAGATCATTCAGCATTTAAAGTAATATTAAAACTAATCAAATAAAAATATAACCTGTTGCAATAAGAGCGAAAGGAATTCACAAATCTGGTGTGACGAAAAGTTTTCAATGTCTTTAAAAGTAAATTGTGCTAAGTCATTATCATCAGCTTTGATCCAACTGCTGCTCAGTTCCACACACTTCTTTGCCAAATCACAGTCATAACTAGGTAGCAAAGGATTAAAAAATTTGAGGGAAAAGAATTTTAAAATAGCACCTAACAGGCATGAAATTTTTACATGTAAAACACTTAAAATACCAAATACATCAACTGTAGACCTGATAGTACAATTGAAAAATAATACTTGAAATAACAAAACAAATGATACAATTATATAAACACAATAATAAAAATTATGAAACAATTTAATACATTTATTTCAGTGCATTATAAAAATGTAAACCACAACAAACATTTCAGCTAAAAAGAAAATTCTCAAAACAATATATGAATTTTCAAAATCTGCATTAATTCTTAAGATTTCAGAATGAACTTGAAACCTCAATTTTAATTCAGATAATTATATAGTTAATTAAATTTATGAATTTTAAACTAAATGCCCAGTGTCTTAATGACCTGTTAAAACAAGAAAAAATGAAAACTAAAATGTCATGCATATATATGAAATGTTTAAAATTTAAGATATAAAATTACTAAAAATACATATAAAACAGCTAATACTAAGATGATTAAATTTTTTTAATGCTTCTAGGAAATTCAGATTTAATTTTAAAAATAAATAAAGATTTCAGTTTATTTCTGGTGACAGTATAATAGAAAATTAGGTAACCCATCAAACTGACATTTTGATATAATTTAAATAAATACATTTTTCATAGATAATGCACACCACCACTAATATAATAATATTTTAAAAGTTTAAAATTCTAAAATAACACAAAAGTTTAAAAAAAGTGTTTCAATACCAGATACATAAAATTTGGCATTAAAACATTTTTAATTAATTACAACAAAGCTGCAGATGCTTATAAAAATTATGAGCTAGATATATTGTATATTAAATAGATTTTAATCTATATCAACAAGATACGTTATTAAGAAATAAATTAGACGAATTATCAAAAAATATTATTTTAAATTACTCACTTTGTTAATCAATAAAAGAAAGAGTTAAACAGCTGTGTGCTTTGAATGTAACACTCCGAGCATAGGCTATGAACAGGATCACATAGAAACAAATTTAAAGGATTAATATACGATACAGTGGCAAGAGCTGCTAAAGGCTGTTTCTCAGTTCTTTCTGTCCTTTGCCCCTGAGTTTCCAAGGTATGAGCATTGCTATGAATTTTATTTTATTTTTACACGTTAACTTTAAATATTACACTTCTTTCGAAGTTAACAAGAAAGTGCAGGCCAGATAGCAAATATTTTTCCAATTACAAATGAAAATATCTATTTCAGTAATTATAAAGCAAAATTAGCAGTACTTCATATATTACAAAATGAAATGTTAATACAATTTTCCAATAGAGTAATACTCTGACTTACATGAACTTGAAATTAGGCAATTACTTATTTCCCCCTCCTTGGGTTTCTCACACTATTTAGTATTTTGGATCTAATAAGCATCATTGGGGAATCTTAGAATGAAATTTCCCAAAAAAGCTTGAATGGAAGAAAATTTGTCCAATCCGTTTAAAAGTTAAAAACATCATAAACTGGTAAAAATATAAATAAATAAAACAATAAACTCATTTATGAAAGAGAAGAAATTGTCAGTCTTGCTAGGAAATTAGATTCAGAAGTTGATTATCATCACATCAGCGAGCTGTTGGATTCACACAGCAAAGGGCTGACAAATGATGAGCTTAGAGATGTATGAACAAATCATCATAGAAAAAGATGACAAACCCAGATCCACCAGAAAAACACATCACAATTATAAGCTTGACAGAAGATTCTGACTCAGTTGAAAAAGAATTATAAATTTTGGAGGAAATCAACAAGGTGAGTAGTTTAAAAATCATAACTAAGCAAACAAGAAATTTTACTTGATTAGAAAAAGGTAATGATCTGTCAGTTGAATAAGATAGAATTTTAGGAAGCCATCATCTTAAAATAACTATTTTATGCAGCACATTTATTTAACTTTTTTACTGATAATGTATACAAAACTATATCCTTTATTACACATTTTCCCTCTAAATAAGTGTTTTTTTTTAGTTCTTGATTTTGTTTAACCTGCTGAATAGCACAGTTTTTTGGATATGCTCTCATAACCAGATAAAGGTGGTCATATCACTAAGTGGGTTAACTAGAGTTCACAAGCATTATTACATAAAAGCTAGATCTTAACTTATGTGAACCTAACTTGCATGTTTTTCATCAGTCTCCACTTATGATGTAACTTTAGGATATTATTGTACATAAAATATCAATAAAAATATTGGAAGATATTTTTTCAAATTTTATTTATGATCATTTGTTGCCTTAAATACTAAATATGTGAATATATACGTATATAGACTGGGACAGGTGTTTACACATTCTTAGAACAATTTGATAATGAATTACAAAATGCTACTGTTTTGGAATAAAAATTTCTCGCATTAGCTTATTACTTAAAATGAGGAATATCATCTGCTACTTTTAAATTTATTCTTTCAAAATGTCATATGTTAATAAGTGGATCTAACAACCTGTTTTGGATCCAAAGAGAAATATTCCTATTCCATAGCTAAAAAATGCTGTGAAATGTATAGTAATAAAAATTTTGAAGTACAAAATAAGCAACCTCATTAATTCTAAATGAATGCCCAAAGAAGGTATGTACAGTTTCTAATATTTCTAAAGTTAATCATTGGGAACAACAGAAAATTCATCAATACAGAAATCAACATGCAGAGTCTTTACATCTGCAGCAACAGTGAATAAAATACTAAACCAAGATTTACAACTTAAAAAAGCTAAAAAACATAATGTTCACCAGCTTTTGTTGAGGCATGTGGCTCAAGGCAGAAAAGTTTGCAGAACTCTGTATGAAATCTACTTAGCAAGTAGGAAATACATTGCAAGCTTTGATGAAGCATGGATTTACATAAATGATTGCAACAACAACAACAAAAAAGTTCTATTTATAATCAAAAGCAATGAGAAGAAAAGTGTACAAACCTGGTTCTGTCAATGCAAGGAAAATTTCAGGAAAGGGTACATATTGTTGCAGCATTGTTATACAAGAAGAATTAAAAATAAGAAGAGAGGGGAAATGTTAAACTTAACATATTATCAACAGAAAGTTTTGCACCTGATTTTTACAGGGGGGGGAATTCAATTCTTTATCCCAGTGTCTTTTAAAAAGTGAAATTTCATCAAGACATCATACTTCGAAAAGTACCACTGCATTTCTTGAAAAAGTGAAGACTGCTACAGATATTGCTTATACACCTTTTCAACATATTCCTGCTAAGTCCCCTGACATTTCATCTAGGGACTACTGTGCTTTTGCCTTTTGAAAAGCAAGCACAAACTTTCTAAGCACAAACCCACCACAATGGATGAACTCTGGAAAGTAATGAAAGAGAAATAGAAATTTCATGAAAAGCACTTCTATCATGGAAATCATGATGTAGACTTATAGTCTAGAAAATACACTCTCAAATCAAGCATGTAAAAAAGTACTCTTTACATTGCAACATTAATTTAAGCAGCCCCAAATTTTTCTAAAATGTGTACACACCTTTTACATAATATTTTAAACAATTAAAAATGAGTGATCTCAAAACTTTGAATTAAACAATAAGCTAAAACCTGCAGCACATTCAGTAGAAAAAGTAATAATAATAATAATAATTTTTCTAACAGCAAAAACCTTTCGGCAAAAAACAGCAAAAAACTTTCAGATAAAATGTTGGAATAAGAATAATATGACAGTATAAGATAAAATAATAGACCAAAAGAACTGAAACTGATGCGAAATGGTGCATATCTTGCAGTGGCACTCGAGGTGGTAGCTATGCAAAACAATGTAGTAGAACATCCATGCTTCTGAACTACACAATGAACAATTTAAAAAAGTAATTGTTTACAAATCCAACAATTTCTTATAATTTAAATAAAATGATGTAGCTGAATTGCTCATTAATGTAATCCGACATGACTCAAATGCAAACAGTAGCTTAATTTAAACCAAAAGTACAATTTCAAAGCACTGTTATACTATCTATTGTGGTGATGGTTTAAAAATTATACTACTATATTAGTTTCATAGTACTGAAATTAAAAATAATTTTTTTATAGATCAAAACTATTAAATTAATAGAAAATAACATCAGTTCCAAAAAATAATAGCAACAGCTAGGATTAAAAATACATATTTAAGATAATCCAGAATTTTTCAAGGAATTAAAATTATTGGTAAAATGTCTCATAATTAATAAAATTTGTTACAGCTCTTTTTAAAAAACTGCACCTGAAAATTGAATTATTAAACTGAATACAGGTATAAATTGGAAAATTTTATCACAGTTGATTTAAAACAGGCATGAAAGTGCAAGATGGCAAAAAAAGCTGAACAACGCGCGGACACAAAATTGCACAAAAACTAAACCACATTTTAATAAAATATCAACCTTTTAATATAAAAAGTATTAAACATATAATTAAACTAAAATAATACTTGTACTTACTATTTTGCTATTAATTTTATCTTCCACTTGCAAAAAAAAAAAAAAAAAAAAAAAAAATCAGTAAATCACCAAGAGATTGTAATGAATTAACCTTCTTTAAGATGCTCTTTATGTAACTTAATTTAACACTTGATACATGAATACTGTACAAAACATTACAACACACTAATATACATATTTATGTTATATATTACTGCCCATTTTCAAGCAATGACAAGTTTTAGAGATATATATATATATATATATATATATATAATAACATAGCTTTCAATTATCTTCACTTTTCATTCAATAAACAGTATATAACACCAGAAAAAGTAGTCATATGAGATAATATAGTTACAAAATAACATATAGTTAAAGGAGGAATATAAAAAATAACTATTCTGTCTGTCTCACTCGATCCTGATTAGAAATTTTTATGGAAAAAGCTTTTTCTTTTTTGCTACTTTTGCAGCCAACATTTCTAATTTCCGTTTGCGAGCTAGTCTCAATTCCTTTTCAGCAGCCTTTATTCAATCCATTGATACTTTTTTTAAATTTTCTGCAATGTTTAATTGCTTTTTTTTAGATTCTTGCTCCTCCTTTTTTTTTTTTATCTCTAGCTCTTCTTTATACAGTTTATGAGCATTCCTTAAATTTTTACATAGAGTTTTGTGTACTGGAGAATGCAAGTGGTTATCCGTATGTCCGACAGATGGCGCCAGCACCAATCGCTGAAATTATTGAAGTCTCGTTTGACGGTTGCTTGCTCTGCTTTGATTCCATATTCGTACGCATCTAGTTCCGCCTTTCTACATGACCCCACCTACTTTGCCTTGATGTGAAACAACGTATTTCGCGATCTCTGGCATGATGTAAAGTTTTTATTTACAGAGAAAAGAGGAAGAGAGAGAGCATGTCCTCTGTTTACCCCCCCCCACACACACATTTGCCAGTCGCGATTTCTCAACGGTTCTGGATTGATCTTAGAAACAGCCCGGGTGACTTTCAAAAAAGTGGAAAACTTTCATGCCTGTTTTAAAGAGAATTTTTTCACAAATTAATATATATCAATTGTAGTTATTTTGAAAGGATAGTTACAAAAAATTCTTCTTTTAATATAATTATTAATTTACATCATTGTAACATAAAACTAATTATTAATGATTAAATTGTTGATATACATGATACTTTACACTTAAATCAATGGAAGTATAAACTGGAAAATTTTATCACAGTTGATTTAAATGGATTTTTTCAAAAATTATTACATATAAACTGCATTAATTTTGAAAAGCTAATTTAAAAAATTCCTCTTTTAGAAATTAATGGGCATATTTTGCTTCAGGACATTAGATCACTGAATTCTATTTCTGGTAACACAAATGCTTATTTCTGTTTCTTTTCTTTCTTTGTAACATAACTCTAACTGTCAATTTTAACTGATTAACTGCAATCATACTTACATTGCTAACAAAAAAAAAAAAAAAAAAAAAAAAAGAAAAAAAAGAAAAAAAAAAGCACCTTGCATATTCAGCCTTCTAATTAGTAGCTTGCAAGTAGGGTGCATGACATAAATTTTTCGCTTCCATTTTTGTGTTTTTCTATAAGTATTTGCATATTATATTTGTTAACTACTTTTAAACAGCTTAGTTTATTTATTGACTTCTTAAATATTGGGATTACTTCTACATTTTTTTTTTACAGTTTCCAAAATCTTATTGAGTTTGAAATGTTTATTAGAATTTAGTTTTTAAATATTCTCTCCTGATTCAGAAGTCAAACAACAAAAATCAGCGTTATACCTACAAAATTTTGTTGTTTGACTTCTGAATTAGTATTTATTCGGCGTGTTATTGTGTCTTAATTATTCTCTCCTGGTTTGCTATAGTTTATACATTTAACAGAATTAATTCTTTTAGATATATTTCATATAGTTAATTTTTTTTTGACTTGTGTAATGTGCTTGCCAATTTTAATTTGCATTTTTGATTCACACTAAACCACACTTTCAATTTCAGCTAGGGGGTAGACTACATTAATTTAGCTATTTTATTTTGCTTAAATTGCAACTGTTTTAATTTATAAAAATAAAAATTTGCTTTATTAAATTCTTCATTGTTTAGTTCAGAAATATGGCCGTCCTGTTATATTACCTTAGACCATCAATCCCACATAAAGGAATATTAACAGATATATATGTACCACTGTATAATTTGAATTCCTTTGCTTTATCCTTTTTTTATGTTTTCATATTGTTTTTCAACTTTTCATTTCAAAGTTTTTGTTGTTACAAAAAGATTATAATCGTATTCCTTTGATTTATTATCTCGTATATTTATGTGAAAATGTTGATAGATTAAAATTAATGACAAAAACTTCAATAATGTAACCTTATCTAGTATTTCATTTATAACACACACACACACATATATAATTTTTGTCAGAATTTAAATTTTAAATATTGAATAGATAGATATTTTGCCGACATTTTAGTTTCTTCCCCAAATTTCTCCTTTTTTGAGAGCTCTACTTTTCACTACTTACATAATAAACTTGTTTCTTCACTACTTACATAATAAACTTATTTCTGTGAATTCAAAAATCTTCTATTTTTTCTGCCAAATTTCTCACACATGCCAATTTTTCAACAACCTTGGTATAGTTTGTTAGAAGTGCGATGTCAAGGATATTTTTTTCTACTTTTGGCAGGTTTTCACATTAATGAAATGATTAAAACCAAAAACGGTAAATTTTTTCCTTCGATACCACAATGCCAGTTTCAGTGGTAAAATAGCTGTGCCTTTACATCACTTTAGCTACATTCAAGAAAATTTTGTCATTTCCTTTTTGTTTAATTTAAAATCTTTTTTTTATTAAATTAAATTAGATTTTTTAAAATTAAAATAATTGTTTTTAAAGTTCTTTTAGCCTAAAGGGCAAACTCTATTAGATGAAAAATTTGCAAGTTTATATTTTATGGTTAATCTGGTCATTGCATTTCCTTTTTACTATATGATGATGTAATTTTAATATAGAATTTTCTTTACTCCTATAGTAGCATTTGTTGTTTTTAAAGTTTCAAGAACTGAAATCATATAGAGGTAATTGCTTGGCTCTTTGAGAGAGGGTGTACATATTTTGTCTAGGAATTTGAATTTAATTTGTTTGTTTATAATTTCTGTTTCTGCACTTGGGCAGTCAAGAGAAGTGAAGAAACAAAATGGCAATGACGAAAAAAATATTATTAGAATAATACTATTTTAAAAGTAATAAATAACTTTCTTTAAAATATAGCCGTGAAAAATTATTCTTTAACAGTATAATAACATCTTTATGATATAGCAAGAGCTATAAGTTACCTTTACTGTTTGGGTTTTAATGATTTAAATTATTGCCTCCTGATGAACCGATTTGAAACATAAAAATATGAAAAATAAATTTGCACTTTTTCAATTTCTGTTTTTCAGTTTTTGCAATTTAAAGTTTAAGAATTTTTTTTTTTTTTTTTTTTTTCAATACAGTTTTACTAATTCAATTTGCATATTACTTAGTTCTAAAACTGAAGAGTATGACACGGTTTTCTTTATCTTAATTTTTCAAGGATAGTATAATTTTTTTCCTTCTACTTTAAAAAAAATTAATCTTTTGTTTTTATATGCATATATATATTTGTACATACACAAATCAAAAGATTAATATATATATGTGTGATAAAAACAAACTTAGAAGTAATGACAAGCAGAAATCTTAATGACATATAAAAGTTGATCCATAATGAATAGAAAATTGGAGGTGAAGCCAGATTAAATCTTCATTTTTTTATTTCAACAAACATGTTGGCACATTAATTGTGCCTATTCCAAAAAGTATACGTTTTAAGTAAATTTGCAGTAAGATAGAAGGAATAGACAGCAATCCAGCTAAGCTTAGGAAACAATTGTGTTATGTTCAAAGTGAAATATTAATTCAGACTGAATTAGTTTTGGTTCTCAGTGCATTTTGATAGGATAGTTAACCCTTTGTTGCATACAAATAATCTAGAGAAGTTAAACGAAAATGTTTGTATTTTTTCTACAAAATAACCTCAGTAAAAATAAAAATAATTAATTTTATTCAAATTCAGTTTTAAATAATTGCTACAGTTTGTTCACTACAGTGGACAGCATGCATATACGTGCATGCATACTCCCAATCTCTTCCCAATGATTTACGGTCATAACCTCAGTAAAAATAAAAATAATTAATTTTATTCAAATTCCGTTTTAAATAATTGCTACAGTTTGTTCACTACAGTGGACAGCATGCATATATGTGCATGCATACTCCCAATCTCTTCCCAATGATTTACGGTCATTGCAATTGAAATTATTTCCTGCCTTGTTTGCTGTGATCATCACCATCTTCTAAATGGTAAATCTACAGCTGATATGTACATACAGATCCCCTAAAATACCTTCATTTCGTTGATTGTGATTAAATTCATTTTGCTATGATTTTGTAACCTGTACCTATTGAATTCAAAAGTCAAATGTACTAGAAATTCCTTGCCAAACATAAACATTTCTAGTGGTGTTTTGGTTTGATAAGCAGTACATTTGGGTTTCAATTCACTCTTTTCGGTAGATCTTTATCTACCCACTCCACAATTTTCTCAAACTGACATTTAAAATAAAATGTCTAAAATGACTAATTATGAATAAAAAATGACAGAATAAGAAAATGTAAGCAATACTATATAATGTTTACTATGAGAAATTGTACTAACTTGGAAACAGAAGTAGCAGCCATTTTCCAAATAGCAATGCTTTACTTAGTGATGCTATACAGCCATCTAGGATCGACAGTTGAAAGTTCTAATAATATAGAATGAACAAACACAGGAATAGAATCTGTTAAGGCATTCACAGAAGAATAAACAAATTTAAACTTTTGTCCACTAGAGTGGACATGATGCAACAAAGGGTTAATACTGCTGTAAAATTACTATTGGCTGTCTGAGTTTTAGTTCCATTTACATTCTAAGAATTACATAAGAATGATATGACATAGAATAGTCTCAATGCAGTGCAAATAGAGGTTATTATTTTTAGAACTGAGAAGGGAAATTTACGCTACTAATTTAATCTTTTACATATTCTGTATTTTTCTTACACACATATACTATATATATATATATGTATAATAAAATTTTGGGTTGAATATTTTTATTGTGAGTATTACTGAACATAGAGCTTTAGTAAAACTATATTTCTTTGATAAATGATTACATATATGTAAATAGAAAGAGAACAGATAATCACAGAAAGCTTCTCATTAAATATTTTATGCTAAAAAGGGTTATAAGAAATCAAATTTGAATTATTTTTATATAAGAGGTCAGTGAATATATTATAATTATTAAAATAACTTATTAATAATAATACAATTGACATATACTATTACTTACAACAGCACAGGAAATTAAATTGAAAATTATTGGTTCATGAAAGTAAAAGAAAAGGATTACTCAGGTTTAACAGGTGGCATCCCTGGTGTGTATAACCAAGAATTCCAATCAACACTGTTTAGAACATCTTCCTACAATATAAAATATCAATAAAATGATAATTAAAAAATAAATAAATAAATAAATAAATAAAAAATTAAAAACAAAACAATTTTAAAAAAATTAAATATTTGAATAATTAATTTAAAATTTATTTTTTATTCTAAAACTCAGAAATAAGAACCAGGCAAATGTTGCAGTATTAATACAAATAAATAATTTATACAAAAGATAGCACAGAACAAAAACTAAATAATGATGAAAAAATAGCATAATGAAGTCAAAAAAACATAACTGATGAATCTCAATAACTATTCTTCTTTTTGTAACTGAATTTCTTACTTTGGTTTTGCATAATATTTTCTGTTAATTATTTTAATATAAGTAGGAATTAATATTAAATGATTAATATAAACAGTAGAGCAAAATATTACAGACACTAGCAAATGTAAACCTGATTATTTCCTTAACTTTAATCTGTATATGGTGTAACCTACAACTTCTGTTATTTTGGATTATTATTTTTTTATCTATATCTAATCAATGATTTGACACAATTATTTAAAATATTTTCAAACATAGTTATACAAATACTTTACAAAACTTTCAGAATCTTGCCCATTATTTAATGACCATAATTCAAATTTGTTAGTAGATTAAACACATATAAGAGAAATCAAAGAATGGTTTTAAAGAGTATGTGTGTATCAATTCTACAATATTTCTGAATTAAGTTTGAACAGGAAATGAAGAAAGACTAAGAACTCTTATTGCTCTAACTCCAAATAATAAAAACTTCTAATTATCCAGATTGCTTGTTATTTTTTCGAGGCCAAATTAAATTTACTTTCAATTTAAATCTTTTCACTAGTTTGAAAGATTTTTTTAAGATATTATATTTATTCAGGGCTTGATTTAAAAAATAAGATGTGCTGGAGCCCTACGGAAGATCACCAGGAAAGATGAACAAAAAATAATAAAAAATGAAAATGAAATAAAGTATAAAAATTAATAATTTACATTAACAACAAATCCTTAAATAATGAAATAAAATAGCAGATCAGATTTTGAGGCTTCAGCTAGTACTGTAGTATATTCACTCAACTATTATGAACTGAGACATGCTCCAATAAGCTTCTGCTGAATTTAAACGCTGAACACATAATGTAGTGTAATACTTGTATTTTTAAGAGAGTACGGCAATGAAAAAAATTAAAATGGTTACAATATTTCTAACGAGAATAGAGAGAGTGCAAGAAATAGTATGAGGACATGCAAGAACATTTTAACAGAGCAATGTGGATATGAAAAGAGAGAGAGTCAGATACTCTCTGAGATGATTATCTGCCAATATAATTATAGCTATCAAGCAGAATGTGTTTTGGGAGGAAAATGTCAACAATCTGATCTGCAATCTAAGAAAATATGTTAAGATTCTATTTAAGCAGCTACTCGCATTCCCTATATTTAGTTGCATCAATCTGAAAGATCAGCAAAACCCTTTGTTTGCAGGGAAGGGGAAGGTTCCAAGGGTTTGAGGCATTTATCTTACTTGATGCACATTTAGAGACAATAATAATGGCTCTCTTTTCCTGCTCAGCTGTGAATGCAGATTAGTGAAATTGATGATATTGAATCAGAGCACAAAATGGCATGACCAGTATAACAATGAGAACTTTAACTTGTTTCAAAATATGCTATTATAAATTTATTGCACAGCTTAGAGATTTTGATATTTTTGTTTCTTAAATATCTCAACTTCCAGCCATTTTTAAGGTACACATTCAGAAGTTAGTATCAATTTCCATACGTTACTTATTATCAACATAAAATATTATGAGATCAAAAGAAATTTTTGCTGAAATTATGGCTCAGTTTCATAAAAAGAAATGTCAGAACTCATCTTATTTAGGGCTCCAGTGCACATTCACTTGAATTACGATTTATATCAAAAACTGAGAAGTACCAAAGCCTAGCTGAGCTCCAGCGCAGATTAAGCTTTGCATTTATTACAAACTGTAAGTAAAAGAAATTTAATATTATAATTGACAATATACTGATAAACTGATATCTTTCAACACTAAAAAATAATGTATTAGTGTTAATTTTAGCTGAACAAAAGTTACGTGTTTTGTTTTGTGAAATAAAAAATACACTGATTACGCAAATGTTGTTATGCATTACACTGGTTATGCAAAAAAACAACACAGAAATAAGTTTTTTCCAAAAAACAAATAAAAAATACACTAAGATTTGCTAATACACAGGATATTGGGTTACAGCAGGTTCTCAATTTTCCAAACTCAATTTAAAAGTTGTAAAATTGAATGCTCAAAAATGAGAATGATATTACAGGAACTGTAAACCCAGGGTCAAAAGGACAATTTATAAAAATGCGTAGGTCATAAATTGCAGGTTAATATATATATATATTGCAGGTATATATATATATACATATGTTATATATATATATGTACAGGGTGTTTATTAAGTCTCTATACATTTCTGAGAAATACTTTCTAATTCTAATTTCTTTGGAGGCGATCTGAAAGAATACTGTCAACAGAAGAAAGAAAAACCATTGTTTATGCCCCTATACGTGGATTAATGTATCCATAGTTGCAGGAGGACTTTGCCCGCAAATCCAGAAAACAAGCCCCTACCAGAGCAGCTATTAAAACCTTGGTAAACAAATTCAAACAAACTGGTAGCATTAAAAAATGAAGGCTGTTCTGAGAGATCTTCTATAATGCAACAAATTGAGCAAAGCATACAAGAAATGATTATACGTAGCCCCCAGGCATCTACACGAAGACTCGGCTGGGAATTTGGTACTGTTTGGGAAACTCTACGCTGTCACTTAAAGAAGAATGCCTACCACATTCAAACTGTGCACAAGCGTGAAGCTGATGACTATGCAGCTCGGCAAGCCATGTGTTATTATTTGTTGAAAGCTGTGGAACTTAATGGAGATTCTTTTTAGCAATGAAGCCACATTCCATTTCAATGGCCATGTTAATAGGCATATTTGTCAAATGAGGGTTGATGAACAATCAAACGTGTTATACGAATCTCAGGAAGACACACCTAAAGTTAAGCTATAGATTGAAATAACTAAGCTCTGTGGACCTTTCGTGTTTGCAGAAAGGACCATCACTGGAGAAATTTATCTTGTTATGTTGCAGCAATATCTTGAGCTACAGCTAGTATCAAATGGCATTATTGACACTGTTGTCTACCAGTAGGATCGGGAACCTCCCCTTTTTGCCATTATTGTGCATAATTATCTTAATGAAACATTTCCTGATAGGTGGATTGGTCATGGATCTAAACGGCTTTGGGCTAAACAATCATCCAACTCATCTCCTAGACTCTTTTGTATGGCGTTTTGTCAAGTTCAAATTGCACCGAGTAAAGAGTGGGAGCACTGAACAATTAAAACAGTGAATTATGACTGCAGCAGCTGAAATTACACCAATAACTTTACATAAGGTGCTCCAGAGTATAGAGGAATTGTGCCTAGACACTAAGGGGGACCACATTGAATTATACTAATTTAATGTTATGTTGCATTTTCATATAAATAACTTATATTTTAGAATAAAGCCTGTTTAATCTATGCAGTAAATTTATTCCATTCTAACTAATTATCTAAAAGAAAACTAAACAGCAAGAAACATATATCTTTTAATTAATTTAATTATTTTTGGACTTTATCAATGAAAGAACAAGTGAATTTCCAGTGGTTTATTCAGTGCACAAATATTCAGGTATAAATGAATACACAAACTAAATAAATGAATGAATAATATAAACATTGAGCTTGAGATTTCCTTCCAAAAAAAGTTTTAATGCTAAAAGATATATAAAAAAGTCTATGATGTACCTTTTCAGGGAAATATTTATACAAATAACTTTTCCAGATATCAGTATCTACAGACTGGTATTTGTACTCTTCAATATAATCTCTTAAAAATTTTTCAAACACTTCTGAAATGAAAATCATGTTAAAATTTAGAATCTGAATAATCATAATTAACCAGACTTAATATATCTATATGTATATGATAATGAATGTCTGAATCTTAAGAATTCAAAATGTGAACAACATCTTTTACATGAATTAATCAGTATAATAAAGATGTGATTTCAAATCATATATTATTTAAACATGTCTAAGTTGCAATGTTGAGTTCTCCAACATGTTTAATATACTTTACACAACATAGCATTCCAGTATAATGAACTCTGTATGTAAATTATGAAATATAAAAATTATGTACAAATGATTTGATCTAAAATTGGCATTTCACCATGCAGTTCTATAGCCCTAGACATCTATAAAATTTAACTCTAGGATGAAGCAGAATGCTTTCCTGTTAATGAGGAGCCAACAGTCAAATGCGGTAGACTGCTTATATTGCTTAATGAATAGCTCTGGAATGTCTGATGTATGCATTAGCAAATTTATGCAATTATCTGTTAGGCTGTGTTCAGACGGCAGCATAAAGGCATAGTCATAAGGACATAAAATACGGGAATTCTGTTCACACTTGCGTGTAAGCCGTGGCCAATGAGAGAAGCTAAATTTGTGCATGCGTGGATGTGTCTACAACTTTCCCGCGCTATTCTGCTCGATTGATTTCTCACGTTCACTCTACTTGTTTTGTGACAGCAAAATCTTCTGTAGAATGCCGCTTCATTTTAGCTTAGCTCTGATTGGTCGATGCTTATCCCAAACTCGGCGTAAAGTTGAAAACTTTGAACCCTATGCCATGAGCCCTAAACCAGATTTTGTGACATTGCACAGACTAGTTGCCTTGGCAACGGAGCTCAGCTTTAACCACTTATGCCCTTTACACCCCCAACACTGTAGCCCGTGTGCATTAAAAAAAAAAAAAAAAAAAAAAAAAAAAAAAACAGAATGCATAAATTCAGCATTGCACACATTAAATATTATATGCATATTTTGATATATTCAGGTTATCCCAAGTTATATATTTTTTTCCATGAAATTTTATATATTCTAACAAAGCAGTTAGATTTCATTCAAATGTTTATGTATGGTGCTAAGTAGTACACCATTAAATGAAAAGTACCAAAATAAATATATTTAGCTGTTGCTTATTTAAAATCTAGATCCAATACCATAAAGATTAAAATAAATAAATAAAAGAATGAAAACTAATTTTAAAAATTACACAGATAATGCAAATCAGAATTTCAAAAAGTAATTTATCAAGCAGTTAGTTTAGCAGAAATGAAATACCTGCTCCACCAAGCAGTTCTTCAAGGTGATACAAAAGTGTGTGTCCTTTTTCATATGGCACTGAACTGAAAGCATCATCAGGACCTACTCCCTTTAAATCAGGAACTAAGTTTGTCAAAGGATCATCTTCACCTAGCGTGTCAATCTATACAGAGGAAAAAAACACATAAAAAAATTGCCAATTTTTACTCTTTCCCCCAAAAAATGTTACTTAACACAGAGTCAATGATTTTGATAGAGAAAAAATTTTTTAGATGCTTTATAATTTTATGACTATAAATTCACAACTTCTAGTTTAAGTAAGACCTTTTACTTAGTGTGCATTACATTGCCATATCAGCCAATTATTTGGGCTTTCTTCTGTATGTCAGTAACCTACCCTTTTTCAAAGTTACTGCACATATTGTATGCAGAGGAGTAATTAAATAATTTTTGTAATGTAAATAATCATCACAAACTATAAAAGGTTACTACAGGAGCTTTTTGGCAGCTTAGCGCAACACAACTGTGACATTAAAACATACTGGGAAATAATAGAGAATTTACTTAGGGAATTTATTTCAGACATGTACCTAAAAATTATATGTGCTTTACATTTTACTGGTTTTGATGGAATAATAACTGCCCATGTGCTTGTATTATTTCTGAAATTAGAATTTGCAAGTTCACTATCTTTCTCAGCACTTTTTTCCCTACTTAGTATACCTTATTCATTCAAAAATTAGATATCTTTCCCCCATTTTTTTCCTATATTTTTGTTACAAGTTTAGTAAGGTCTTACAAATAGGTATTTTGATACATAAAATAGCAAAATGAGAGAAAGATGCTTTATTATCATATTATATAGGATAATTACACTTTATAATACTAAGTAAACTAAATAGACAATTGCCATATTATTATTTTTTCAGAATTATTGCAAAATAAATAACTATTCAGCTACATTTTTATTTCTTAAAATTTATTCTAAAATATTAGAAGGGTTTTATGTTTTAAGAAACATGGAAGTACTAATATTATAATTCTCTCTAATTTCAATAATACTTTCTGAATCTACACCTATATTATCATTTACAGTATCAATGCTGCTCATTGAAATACATTAACATCTAGATCCAATATCATTTAAATCACAGAAATTCTGTTTTAAAGCCATAACTATTAGCAGAACAAAAATTACACGAGAAACTACTAATGTGAACATCCAGAAGGGATGCCCCCCCCCAAAAAAAAGTATAGCTAAAAAAATCCTTAAATTTTGTCCCCTCCTTCACTAATCATTTTGCCACAGTAAATGAAAATTAATAGAGAGCATTAATAGAGAGCTACACTGCACACAAAGAGGTTTAACAGATTATATTATTACATAAATAATATACTCACTAATCATTTTGCCACAGTAAATAAAAATTAATAGAGAGCATTAATAGAGAGCTACACTGCACACAAAGAGGTTTAACAGATTATATTATTACATAAATAATATACTCACTGTATATTTGAGTTCTTTCCATCCACCAAGAGCGTGGAATTTTCGAAAATCTTCACCATGCAATCGCCCTAAAATTTTTCTCTCAACAAAAACAGTAAAGCCTTCATTTAACCTGAAATGATATAAATAATGCAAACAGTGAAAGACACTTCAACGTCTAAACTTTATTTAATTTTACTGTTTGATATAATTGAACTTAAAAACTCTTTTTCAATGACTGAAAAATGAAATATAATTAATTATGCTGTAAAAAAAACAAAAATACAGAAATTTCTTCCCTCGTTTTAAGGTAGGACCGGTTGAAGAGGCACTGCTCACTTTTTGGCCTAGCATTAATTTTTGAACTTGGACTTTGCTGCCACTGTGGCTGCACTGCAGTTTTTGTTGCCAGTGTATCAAACAAAACCATAACTAACTGTGCAAGGACTATGGAGCTGCTATGCACAAAGATCCATAATCAACTTTAATCTGTAATCTATTTTATTTGGAATTGTTTTATGTTATGTTTCTTCTTTCTTAGTTCTTTTTCAGGTTATCTTAATTTAGAAGAATGGCTTGCATTAAAACCTAACCCTGAAGCTTGGTACCCTACAATGGGCGATCAGCAAGTGAAATTTTCATCAACAAGAAAAAAAGGAAAATATGCCAGGCATTCAGAAAATCTATAGTATGCAACAATTTTTTATATTGGAACAATGTTATCCTTGCAGAAAAGTTAAAATGTAATAAATTTGTGTTATGTGGCTAAATATGAACTAAGAACTGAATTTAAAAAATCTTTTGCCAAATGTTATGCACGGAGTTAAAAGCATAATGATCTGGGGTTATTTCATTGATTTCGAACATGGATCAGTATGAAAACATAAATATTCTTAATGAAAACCTGAAAGCATCTGCAAGGAAATTTGTAATGCAAAATACATTCAAGTTCTTTCATGATAATGATCCTAAACAATGCTTGTGGTTATTGCATGACTATACTGAAATTATCAAAACTTCTACATATTCTCCAGATCCAATAGAAAATGTATGAGAAGAATTGGAAAAAGGAATAAAATAACATGACACTTCCTTGAAAACTTCACAAACAAATGTTACTTAGGAATGGAACATTCTTACAAGAAAAAAATTAGTTAGCACAGGAGAACTGTAGTTTTAGCTATAGAATACAATGAAATATTGACTGTTCCATTATATTCATATTTTTATTAAGGTATCCGAACATGTTGAAAAGGCCAATTTTGCCAAAAAATGGCAATTTTCTTTTATTCGTTCATTGGATAGATTGTTTATTTAGCTTTCCAAAATTGGTCTGTTTTATTTCTATGTTAATTAGAAACTGAGATATTAAGGATTTCATAAAGACGCAAAAACCGGAAATGGTCATTTAAATCACCGAAAGTGTGCATTCAAAGAGTTGAAAAGAGCTAGAAATGGACATAAATAATTTATCTTGTAAATGTAATGTAAAGACTTTTAAAGAGAGGGAATTAATAGAATCTTATCTGCAATCTGTGCAGGAAAATGAAATTATTTCCAATAAAATGCAATATTTTTATTAATTACCCGTTGAAAGCGTTATGTCCTCGCTAGCATACGAGTTTGACTTGATTCGACACATTGCATACTGCAGTTAGATTTATCTTAGTCTTTGATTATTTTTATTAACATTCGAGTTAAAAATATAATAAAGGGTGATAAAAAATTGAAGCCGTGTTTGTAAACGAAAACGTGTAAGAAACGTGTTGCGAAGGAAATAGAGGAATATAGAAGAATAGAGAAGGAAATAGATATTAATAAAGCAATTCCCATCGAGCGAACTAAAATTAAAATGCTTCTTATCGGCAGGAGATGTTTTTGAAAGTGATTTGTCATGTCAAAGATATTTATATTTAAGTAGTGTCACCAAATATGAACGCGTAAGTCATATCCAGAAGCCCCGTTCCAGAGTTAGAAAATTTAAGGGAAAACAAAAGTATCTTGATGGAGGGGTAAATTTCACTCACTAATGATGTCTTTATTGACAAATTTCAAAATGGAGTTAGAATCAGGAACAATGAATGGAAAGTGCTGTAATTGCTCCATTTTTTTCACACTTTCTCTAGTGCAAATCTACCTATACATGGTCAGTGCCCAGATGTACCAGACATTTTTTGCAAATATCAGTTACCTGTATCAGTTAGAATAGTGTATACAAACAAATCCAAAGGACTGGCCCAAAGAATGTAATTAATATTCTTCAGAATGTATATAAAACTATGTGAGCAGCAGTTCTTTTAAAAATGCTTATAAAAAAGGAAGACACAAAATGCAAACAAAATTTTAATGACAATTTTTTGGAAATTTATACCGATGGTTGCCATTGTGGAATTACAAACTCTTAAATTGGAGGCATATATAGTTGTTATACACTTTAACAGAGGGCTTTTAGGCTTACTAGGTATTTTAAATTATATAGGTATGCAACATGGTGAATATGCAGTCGAAAGATTTAGTAAGCTCGACATGGAGCAAATGAGTAAATCAAAATGTCACTCACTACCCAGAGTAAAAATTGCCACAAAAAACAAATAGGCTGAATATAAACAGAAAAACAGATAAAGTGGAACAAAAGGAAGATATAACCTATAGATATAGTGAGGTTTAGGTATCTGGGTAAAGATTTAATATTAAAAATAAAGCATTTTAAACTTTAAATGTATTTTTCTCCAAATCTATTTTTTCTAAAAACCGGCTCACTTGGTGCAAGATAAATCAAATTATTATTACTTTATTTTTATGAAATGTTGTATGCTTAATCTATATATAATTATCTAGGGAATGACATACCAGAATATTTATATGTTGAATATTTTTGAAATTATGGCTTGTTATTTAAATAATAACATTGTGAATTTATCGAAAATGTCGTAAAAAAATTTCAGAATTTTGAAATTTTTTTTACTATTTAAGATATTTTTAAAACCCTATGTCATTCCCTAGGTAAAAGCATGTAATTTATTATTCTATGACTTTTTTTAATATAACTTTAATATTTTTTTGTATAGAATGTTTCAAATTGTTTTAAAAATTGCTTAAAATTTCACGTAAATTTAATATCTTTTGCAGGATAATAATAGAATATACAGTCAAAAGTCTTTAATCCAGACTCGTCGGGACTTCAGCAATTCCGAATTATCGGTTTTTCCGGATTATAGATCATCAGTTTAAATCTGGTAAAATGAAATGCAGAAATTATAAAATTAAAAATATGAAACCGTAATTTATGAAATAAAGAGCAATTATGATCTAAAGGATATCAAAATTTACAGAATAAAAGCTTAATATTTATTTGTTTACTTTATTAAACATTTCTTTCAATGCGTGCATGCGTAAAGCATACGTTACGCATAGTCGAAATTAGAAAATTGCAACCAGAAAACTATTTGATGTGTATTCGTGATATTTATAACGACGAGGAATTTAATTTAAATCATATCAAAGACAGAGTACATCAAGATGAAATACTACATTTAGTAAGGAATTATAAGCCGAATAAAATAAAAACATCTGCCCTGAAGATAAGGATAGTGCTGACAGATCAACTTCCAGTTCATTGTGCGCCGCGTTGTCCCCCTTCCCCGCAGAGCATCGTCAAATTGATAAACATATTTCGGAATGATTAGAGAATCAAAGGCTATGCCTTTATCCACTTTTTTGCGGCAATTCCACTTTTTGTTTGATAGACATCGAAACATGCTTTCGCTCTGTAGATCCTTTGGTAGCTCTAGAATCGGAAATTCTTTTTGACATAATCGAAAGTTCAAGCTTACTTTTATAAAATTGCTCTAACAAGTCTGCAAAAACTAATAAGCCGGATCCAATTAGAAGATTAAGGTATAACGCAATCTGCAACATTAACTGAAATAGATAATTAGATAATTTTAGCTTAGCTTATACCGTCCGTTATATATTAAACGCGCATGCATAAACGTATTATGCGCATGCGTAGACGCATATGCACATGCGTAAAGGTATTATGCGCATGCACAGAAAGTTTGTAGCTTTGAGGTCCGGATTATAGATCATACCGGATTAAAGACTTTTGACTGTATTACATTTTGATACTGCATAATTAATCTCAGTAGATAACAAATGAGAAAATTTGTTTATAGTATACTTATACTGCTTTTTTGAAAAAAAGTGCTCCGAACATAGTCGGATACCTTAAATATACACAGTTTATTTTTAAATATATTTTTTTTTTAAACCAAAAATGGTTTGGTTCATCAAAACAAGTGAGTTTTAAAACAGATGATAAATAGTATATGTGAAAAAATAATACAGACATTTTGCTAATATTAACTGATATTTGCAAATAAAACTGAAAAACTCGAGTGTCCAAAAACAAATGTGAACTACTGTATGTATATATATGGATATAAAAGCAAATTCTCAACATAAAGTGTTATTTTCATAAATTTTATAATGTTTTTTACACTATATTTCAAAAATAAGAAAACTTCAGATGAAATTTGAAAGAAAATCATCATTTTCATGCATATTATACATAGCCTATTCAGAAAGCTTATGGATGAAGCACAAAAGAACTTTGTTTACATCTTTATTTGACTTCATTTAGCTATATCAACATGACAACATTTAAAACAGCCTCCTCTGTAATTTATATACTTTTGATGCATAGTTTTCATCATTAGAAGCTCTGCTGCAGATATATTTCTAATAGGCCCTTCAACACTTTGCTCCTGGTGTTTTTCACATTTTGCAAATGGCGCCTCTGAAATACTATTTTGATTTTGAAAAAAATAAAAAAATCACCAGGCCAGATTGGCAAAATAGTGAAGCTGTTTGAGGACAGTAAGTAAATTATGAATTCATATAATGTCTAAGATTCGCTTTCTTCCAATGTTTAAGGTTGAAAATGTCATACAGTATTCCAAAGGTGTCTCAGAGTATTCACAGAGTAAGCTATATTTATAGACTGTGCTTTTGGGATGTGCATAACAGCGCAAACGTCAGAAAAAATATATGACCGAGCCTTTAGATCCACTTAGACTTTTTATTCACAATTATTTTTTTCATCTACCTTTCTCTGCTCTGAGACTTCACTATCAGATTATATTCATAAGCCCATGACTTATCAGTCATAATTAGTCTGCCAAGAAAGCCACAGGTTTGACCATAGAATGCAAAGACTACTTCCTAATCAGATTTTGTCCAGCAATCGTACAGTTTGGTATAATCTTTGCACACAGTTTTCTGATTCCCAATTTCTCGACTGACTGTGCAAACAATTTTCTTTTCCTAAATTTAACTCTTTACCAATCATTCTAACAGGAAATTATTAATCATGTACCACAAAAGACAATATAGAAGTGATATTTTCATTAATTTAGGCAGCTGAAGGGTATTCTGCTCTTTACATCATCAGTATGTCTTCTTGCTTTTCTTAAGAAGGTTGACTGGAATAACGCTGACCACTGAATTATGGAATGTGCAATGCAACTGCTTCAATATTTTATGAATTTCAGCTCCCTTCTTCCCAAGTTTGGCAAGAAAATTCATATTCTTTCATTGCTCGAATAAACATTACTCTTCATCTTGATCATACACAATAGAGAGGTTTTATTAAAAAAAATATAACTTAATTTATATTCATCTCAATAAAACAAAATTTGAACTGAAGACAAAGAATCTATCTGACTGTGTCTCTTGCCACTTTATCAGTGCTGATAGGTTAAGAGAATTAGTCCATGAACTTGCTAGACTATGCAAATGAAATATACAAAACTACAGATGTGCATAATTAAGGATTAGTTTTTAACACTTAAATGTAAGTAAATTTTATAAAAATATCCTCACCAGAAGTGTTCAAAATTCTTATTTGTTACAAGATTGCCAGTCCAGCTGTGTGAAATTTCATGAGCAATAACATCAACTAATGATTTATCACCAGCCTTAAAAGAGAAAATACAAATAAATTTTAAAAGTAATATGAAAAATCTGAAAAACTTAAAATATCAAACTTTTTATTTAGGCATCACTGAAAAAAAAAAAAAAAAAAACAGTTTTAATGCAAAATTGATATTATCAAGTTTCCTGCAACATGAATTACGCATATTTTTTCTCCACCCTTTAAAAATGCAACATTTTAATCCTGAAAATTAAAAAATTTTAAAATTAAATTTAGAACAACTATTTTCCCACTGTACTATAAAGTATTTTCTCCCTCCTGTTAGAATGCCTTCATGGTGTAACGCTACACAATTGGCACATATTCAAGAGTTCGAGTTTCGGCAAGGTCAGTGCACATTTTTCACATCTTCTGCTTCAAAATAACCTAATGATTCTATAAGTGGTGCCCAACTATAAAGTGGTGGACAATAATTCATTGCAACTACCAGGATTTGGTGATTGGGTTCTTTAATCCCCAGTCGGACTTTAAAAGGGGGAATATATAAGGTAAATTTCCCCCTACTTCCAAGCATACCTTTGTGGTGTAATGGTAGCACACTCTGCACACATTTAAGAGGTCCAGGTTTGAGTGCTGATGAGGGCATTGTATATTTTTCATGTCTCCTGCTTCAAAATAACCTAATGACACTAGCTAGAAGGGGGCAGCTCACCCTGAGTAGCACATTTTTAGGGGTGGCATATTCTGTATGAAGCTTTAGATATAGAAGTCAGTCAGGTGGATAATAATTAGATTCTAAATTGCCATGCAGAATTAAATTGAGATGAAAAAAGATAAAGCATTCAAAGAAATCTCCACATGATTTCAACAGCTACGTATTTTTGCTACACCCTTTTTATTCTATAAAATTTGAATGCAAATTATGAACATTAATTTTGATAGCAGTGACACTGACAAAGAAAATTCCTCATTAGGAGAAAGTATTTCAGAGTTTTATTTCCCTTATTGTAAAGAATTCAACAAATGGAAGGGCAGTTTTCTTGAATTTTTGCAATTTACACTAAAATATAATCTCCAGAACAAAATTCCAAATTTCTAATACTATATCAAAATTTCCTATCAATTGTGGTAAGTGTTGCTTGTAGTGAGAAGCAATTTCTAAATAAAAATAATTTAAGAAGTATTTAAGAACTACAAATGTATATTTTGCATTTAAGAAATCTCTCTCTACTATTAGCATAACAGCAAGAGGAATCAAACAGACATCTATAATGTCATGAGCAGTTTTGCGAACAAATAAACATGTGAAGTAATAATACAATTTTAAAATGTTGGACTTTTAGAGTTTATTTTTATAGTGTTTTAATTTATTTCCCCTACATGTCATTTTGAAATTTTTTGCAGTTGTTTACTTGTATATCAAGAGGGTTGGAAAATTCAGGTACCGCTCCAGGCAACATAAGTTCTAGTTACACCACTGCAAAAGAAGCTGTAAATTATTGTTGTTAGTACAGAATATCAAGAGAATTTTTACAAGTATGCTATAGTAAGTATTATAAAAACATCCAGTTTATTTTCAAATGTAAGAAAAAAATTACTTAGCATAAAATAAAGGAAGACAAAATTCTTTGACTTGATTTTTGGTAAAAAAAATATCTTTGTGCTATTAGGTTGCTGGAAGTTCTAGCCAATACAGGACTTGCCAATTTATGGCTTCCCTGGAATGTCTTTTGGAATTTTCTGTATGCGCAAGTAAAGGAAGGATTAAGACAACAGGAAAGTTATGGATAGGAGACAGGATATGAGACAATAGGAATTAAATGCATCATTTAACCCTCGATTAAGCATGTGAGTGACAAGTGTCAACCAAACATCTGCCTAATGCAAGGTCCCCACTTTATTTAACGCGCAAAAAAACATATTTAAACCTCCATTCTAAGACCTATCATCACATAAATCTCCCCTGCCTGGAGCACAGCCTCCAACACTGACATAAACAAACTCCAAGCTTTCCAGAACAATTATCTGCATAAGATCACAGGAGCGCCTTGGTTTGTTCGTAATGAATAACTTCACAGGTCTCAAAATTCAAACTCTGGCTACCTTCATAAACAAATGTAATAGTAACTTCTATAATAAAGCAGTAAGTGTCCAATGAATACCTGTAAAATGTCTATCATCTTATCATAATTTATGCTCTTAATTTACTCGGACAATTTTAAGTATGAACTTCTACAAATAGACATAAATTTAAGACCTTATGCCACTCATTAGTTTAGAAACCCGGCCTAATATTCAAAACATCTTTTTCAAAACTCTTCCGCTTAGTGAAATTTAATTTCATCTCACACTGGCCTGGGCCATCTCCTCACCCTTATCCTGCACTTACAAATTAAAGTTTTTCTATGATGTATTGTATGTGACCCTCTCCTAGCCAGGGTTATTTGAGGTGCCAGTAATAGCTGGATAAAATTCCAGCTGAGACTGACAAAAAGTATAGTATCATAATATCAGCATCACAGTGAATTGTACTGATAGCAATCACACTATCTTGCTAAACCTATTAAGGTAGATTAATAGCACGCTGCCATATGATTCCTGCATGATTATACGCAATTTGCGCTCTCAGACAGGAATTTTTTAAGCTGAGATAGAGTTTTGTATTTTATTTAGTTCATTGTTGTTAGGGTTAAAAGGCTGTCATGAATTTTTGAACTAATTCCTAATAAGCTATTATGTTCAAATTTGGCACACACTGTTAGTAGATGACAATACAAAATAATGAAGCAATTTTTTCAAAATAAGATATTTTAAAATTTAATTTTGAAACAATGTTTGCTACATATCTTCATTAAATGAGCAAACTGAAAAATCTCAGAGTTTTACTTTTGCACTATTGGATGAAGCAGGGAAAAAATCTTTTAAATGAAATCTAAATGGGATTTAACAATTTATGACTTGGGGCAAAATCCTACTGTTTGTACCATAGAACAGAGAGACAACCATAAGTTTAAATGAACCATAAGTTTTAAACCATAAGTTTTAAATGAAATTTATATGGGATTTTAACATAATTTCCGATTTTTGGCACATTTGATGGAAATTTTCAACCATTTGAAATAACAGAATTTGGGAGAAAAAAAAAAAAAAAAAAAAATTCATTTGAATAATTTGATTCATAGTGCATCATTACGACTAAAAATAAAGTACTCTTTTATTTTAAATTCACAAAATAATTAATGAATTAAAAGTACAAAGATAACTTATCATATAGTTCAATGGGAACAAAAGATTAAAGAATAATTTTTATATAAAACTCATCTAAAATTTTATACTATGAATAATAAAAGCATGGATTCCTAAACAACAAAATCTAATAACTGAATTGCATTGTCAAATGTATAATGCATTAACTTTACATATTTATCAAGGCAGAGTCGTAGCTAGGGTTTTCAGCGCCCGGGGACAACTGAAGATTTCGCACCCCCTACTGCTTGCCAAGGATGGAAAACATTTAATAAAATGTCGTAACATCAGTTTGGCATCCCTTGGATTCTGTGCCAGGGGACAGATGCCTGTCTTGCCCCCCTCTAGCTACACCCCTGTATCAAGGGCACTCCATGCTTTTATTTTTCATGACATAAAAATTGTAGAGGAATTTTGTAAAGAGAATTATTCAATCTCTTATCCCCACTAAAGTATATGATAAATTATTTTCAACTTAGTTCATTAATTCTTTTAATAATTTTAAATAAAAGCTGATTTTATAAAAACTTAAATATTTATATTTTTTTATTTGCTGTGTAGCTCAAATTTTACACTAACAAATTATCCCATATTCCTGTCACCGAGTGGTCCACTCATTGGACAAAACTCTGTCAACTAAGATAAGGGGACAGACAGCTGGGACTTATGGTGTCTTTTTTTAATTGCAATGCCATTACAATAAGATGATAAATTGCATAACTCCTTTAAAATAAAATATGTTTGAACAGTATTAATAAAACATTTCTTGACAGACTTTTATTACATTATATTTTGTTTGATTACACATTTTTTACAATTGCAAATAAGCAGCAGATTATAATTTAATACCTGTAAAATGTCTATCATCTTATCATAATTTATGCTCTTAATTTATTTATGCTTTTCCCTCTGTAAAGATTTTTTACCAAGAGATCAAATATATTAAACCATAAGTTTTCCTTTTCTTATTACTACACTTTTATTGCATACATCAAGTATTAAAATTAATTTGTCTAATGACAGGTAATTTGGGTTGATCATGGGCCAATACACTAAAACATTTGGCAGTTTTTATTATTAGTAGCATTTGAAATTTATTGATTAAAAATGTATTTTTCCCTATTACAAATTTTACATTACCACAGTTATATTTAATTTAAACTTGAAACAGCAGCAAAAACATTCAAAAATAAGTTTGTTTTTATTACATTTTTAGCTTTGTTATCACAAGTTCTAGATTAAAAATTTTGTTACTTTCTAAAATTGATTTTAAATATTCTTTCTTGAAATTTCTATTTAAACAAAAGCAAAATCATTTTATAACTTTTAGTGATAAAATACTCTCTTAGTATGAAAATAAAACACGGATAATTTCTTCAAAAATATCTTAAACATGTTCAGTCTGTTTGTGTACATATTTTTAATACTAGCTGATTGAAAATAACTTATAAATAAAATACAATAGAAGTTCATATCTCAACAGTTTTTTTTCTTGCAAGTATTTCAACATTTCATCTATGCAACCATATGTTTTGAAACAACAAACTGCATAATAATAAATAGAATAAAAATAAAAAATAAAAAAAAAAATAAAATAAAATAAAATAAAATAAAAAAAAAAAAAAAAAAAAACGACGATGTTAACTTACCAACAATGTTGGGGTAACAAATGTTAAGCAAGGATTTTCCATTCCACCAAATGGAAAAGATGGTGGAAGTACTAATAAGTCATACACCTCCCAAACATATTCACCTAAAAGCTCCTCAGCAGTTGAGATAAGTTTCTCAGTCTGAAAAAGCAGCACTGTCACACAGATATAGTTTATATAGTAAAAGGCTACTTATAGTCTCTCAAAACATTTTAAAAATTCATATTAATGAACTATACAACTGATACCAAATTTTATTACACTGGATTAGTGACAACACAAATACTTTAAGTGATGATCTTTGCTCATATGGTAGACATTATGCAATAATCCATCCAGAATATCATGATCCACCCGAGAGCCATAACATGAGACTTATGGTTAAACTCTTGGAGGATTAAAGAGGAGTGAATGATAGTATTCAAGGGGAATCTCAATAAGGAATTTAATCTGAAGACACTGGGGGTAGTTACATTAACACATCATCTCCTCTTCCTGTATCCTATACAAGCACACTATCAACCTTAGAGGAAAATTTTGATTGAGAACATCTAGCAATCGGTCTTTGTTCTTTATGGCAAATTTTGACTGAGTTTAGCCTTCAGATGGTCTTGATAACAGTTTCTGTGATAGTGAACTGGACAAAAGTTGGCTGAAAAAGACAGTCAGCACTGTTTTCATCGAAAGGAAGCACCAGCCATTTTTTTCAGTTTGTCTAAGTAAGTCCTCCCAATAAAGGACAGATCTCTGCTGTACCAGTAAGTATTGACACATTGTTTTTGGAAGACAAGACTTAACCTCTATTTCAAAATAAAAAAATTATATAGGTTTCATAGTTTACTTATTGTACATTTTTAAAATGCTCCATTGGCTTATGCACAATTCTACATTCAAACATTCTTTGTAACAGCAAAATCTTTACCTCTGAGAACTCTTCAGCAGCCTGCTCAATATATTCCTTTTCTGCCCATACATGTGAGCGTGGTCCAATTTCTCTGTAATGATATCAATAACAGAAAAGGATTTTTAAACAAAAAATGTTATTAAGACATTAAAATGGATTATTTCATCCTGATAAGGAAATAGGATATAAATATACCTGAATAAATGCCTTCATGCAGAACTTTCTAAGGGAAACTAACCAACATTTACATTACACATGAGGAAAATCATGAATACCTCATGTAGCCAGTCCATTCAATTGCCACTGTAACCATGGTATAGTTAGACTTTAAGTTCTTAAGACCAGCAATTAAACATTTTATAAATAACCCAGACACACTACCACTAATAAGTTAAATGTTGTTACAAGTTAAGAGAATCACTAGTTTGCACATGTGTATAAGTTATTTTCTTTGTATTTTCCACATGCCTTCATAGTACGGGAACCATACTCGAAGTGCATTCAAGAGATCTGAGGTTCAAGTCCCGACAAGGGCACAGCACATTCTTCAAGTCTCCTGCTTTAAAAAAAAAAAAAAAAAAAAAAAAAAAACTGATGACTATACAAATAGTAGCCAAACTTAAAAAAGGTGGTGAACGACAATTCATCACCACCAGGACTTGGAGATTAGGTCCTCTAATCCCCAGTTGCCCTTTAAAAAGGGGAGTATATAAGGGATTTTCTCCCTCCTTTCCACATGCTCTCATGCTGTAATTGGAAGCAACCTTGACGTGTATTCGAAAGGTTCGAGTCCTGGCGAGAGCATTTCCCATTTTTTATGTCTCCTGCTTCAAAAGTACCTGAAAGCTTTAGAAACATTTTGCGACACCCAAAATCCTGTTGTCGTTAAAGTTCTGAAGTCAAAATTAAACTTGAACCGTGGATATGACATTCTTTACTGCTGGTTCCGGGACATGTAGGGATAAAAGGTATTTTAATACAAATTTATTTTAGTAAACTTCGTGAGAAATATTTTAATAGTTCTGAGGTAACTCTTCAACATCTCATCAGGCAAGATTTTAATACTAATATATTCCTTTATCTAAGGGCCCACCAGCAGCCGAGCGGTAAAGTCGCTGAACACTGGTAGTTCGGTCCGAAGTTCGAATCCCGCGAACGGGCTGGCTGGATGGGTGTTTTTTCCCATGAGTAACGTGTATACGAGCCAGTTTTCCTTAGAAAGCCCTCCACGAAGGCATCCCTCTCCTTAGGCAGATAGCCCTAGTGTGCTTTGCCATAATTAAATACACCACACCTTTATCTAAGAGATACTGGATTTTATCATTCATTTTGAAATACTTTTAATGTCTACTGTCAGCCTGAATTTACCTATTTTAACAGTTGAATCTTTGGGATTTTACTATACATGTCACCTCCATCACTTTATTTTATCTGTTGATTTTATCAGTGAACTTGTTTTAAATTTATTCCTTTTAATATGTGTACCTGTAGTTCATCTCTATATTGAAATATCACACCTGTATTCGGCGCATATAATCTTCAAGGTTTTGCAGCAGAAATCACTATCACTATCAAAAATACCTAATACTCTACAACAGAAACATAAAAGTAACACCAATTTTATATGGTTTTCAGGATGATTAATGGAAATTAGTGCAGTGTTCTGGATACTATTTAAAAATTTGTTAGTTTGATGGCTTCTCTTGCCATCTAATTAGCAAACTATCTTTTAGTAGTACACAGAACTGCTCTACATCACATATAGGCACAGCACATTAAACATTTTCATGATTAAAAAGCATGACATAGAGTTATGTGTCACATTCAATCAATTTTATAAGTTTTCAGCATGAAAAACTTGTGAGTGCTAGTCATCTCAATAAATTTACTATTCCTTTTTGTAATAAGTGATTTGTTACTAAATAAATATGACGTACAGAAGTCATAATTGGAACATTATGCAAAGTCGGTTAGTTAATCAGAAGGTTTGCATGCAGGCTATTCTTTAGTCTACAACATATGCAGTCTAACCTAACATGATGCAAAGCTAATTGCATAGATATTACAATACATGCATAAGGCAATGTACAATTTACTGATGAATTTGAATTCTGATTTTAAACACTTTACACCTGAAACAAATGCAAAGGACACATTTCAACCTTATTAATATTGAGAGAGATCATTTTGGAAGTGCCAGTGTCTTTCTGTGAAGTGGAATCAGATTAGTACATCTTCACATGTAATTGTTCCTTGTAAGATAAAAGTCATTGTTTATGCAAATTGAACAGTACATCAGTATTTCAATTTAATACTGATTAATTAATTATTTTCATTCTCTTAGGACTAACCTGGTGCAGGATTCTAGACTCCAAGGGCATAAGCTACCTGGAATTAACAGCTTCCTCACCAGACTTTACCAACATGCAACTACAGGATGCTCTTGGCCACCAAGATTACAAAATAAAATCTACTACAAAATCATTTCATGCTTAGGATTCCTTATCCCAGGAAAAGCCGACAGTCTAGTTGTATGCAGAATTACCATACACAATGTACAGACATTCAAAAAATGGCACTGCATATTACACATTTTCATGATTACACGGCATGATACTAACGACACAAAATTATGCCGATCATCCTATGTCTAAAAATATATTGTATTGTATCATTACTATAATTATGTATACATTACGCAATAAAAATACAGCCAAACATGCACCAAATAAACATGTGCTTATGCGTCGAGAATCGTTGTCAGAGAAAAGAACAGACCTTTCCGGTAAACCAAATATATAAGGCAACTGCATTTATTACTGGAATATTAAAAGAGAACAAAACATATACCTATATATTTCCAGAGGGAAACAAAACATTTCCCTCTGGAAAAAATATAACTTTTGATTTAGAGATGCTTCACCTTAAACCAGCCACCCTGCCGAGTTAGCTGCTGCTAAGTGTTCAATTCACATTTAGCGATGCTGGTTGCTGTATCATCTTGCCCAGGTTTAAACCCTATAGAAGACTTACATGTTTGTAAGTGTAGAGTTGTAAGGATCTTAAGTTTTACTAACGTTTATTTTTATTTTGAATCTTTACTATCACTTCTTATTTTCTACTTCCGGCCAGAATTATAAGCGTTAAGGATTTTATGCAAAGTTGTCTGGCGAACGCCAAGTATTTAAGTTGTGGCCTTTTTGCCAAGCGAGAGAGAGGAAGCAGTTGAGTCGAAGCAGGCCGCTTACCTTAGAAGTTTACGCAGTTGCTGTTTGCCTTCCAGGCCAGAGGTTTTAATCCTCTTGATAAATTAAACGTATTGTAGTGTTCACAGTCTCTGTACTACATACGCTTCCTGTTAATATAAGGCCAATCTTCCACGTTTATTATTCTAAAGTTAAATTAGAGTTTAGTTTTATTTTTATACTTTTACGTTAGACCCCGAGCGGGTCGGTGTATTCCGAAGTACGGAAGTTATTGTATATAGAGAAAAATAAAGGGTTTTTGTATACCCTTCGTCTGTATCCTGTCTACTTACCACAATTAGTGAACATAGCTTTAGTAAGCTCTCTGTTCCGAGTCAGGTCCTTGTATGTTTCCCGAAGAAGGTTAAGAAGGAACATTGAACCTGATAGTGGCGCCCAACGAAGAAGAATAACCATGGCCGAGTTTCAAGAAGAACCTGTGCTGCCTGCAGAAACGGCTCAGAATCCAGAAATGCCAGCTGCCGCCCTGGAAGGATTTGGTTACATCGTCCAGACCATGCGCGCTTCGATGAAACCAGAAGCAACATTTAATGGAAACTCACCGGTAACCAGTTTTTTGGAAAAATTGGATGACCACTTCATGCTCTAACCCCGTGCACGAGTTTCAAAAAGTTACCTTAGCTACCAGCGCTTTGAGGGGCCAAGCGCTTAACTGGTTCAAATGTATCGGCAGAAGTCTCTTGGGTCAAGCAGGAAGTCCCACCTATACTTACGAAAATTTCAAGACTGCCCTACTAAAAGCCTTCCCTGTTGTAAGGGATCGTGCGAAATTAGAAACGGAACTTTTCAGTATATATCAACAAAGAATCGAAAACCTCTCGAGCTTTATTTTAAGAAAAATTCACGTTTTCAAGCTCTTGTATGGAAACCGTCCGGATCCTGAAATAATTCAAGTGATTTTGCCGAGGTTACTGCCCCAAGTGCAAGACTTTATTGAATTAAGAAATCCGACTACACTGGAAAAGTTATTTGAGCTAGCAATCCAGTTTGAAAGTAGAAGAACGGCGGACGTCGAAAGAAGACGCCAATATCAACAGCGAAACCAATTTGGTACGCCAAGACTACAGCAAACTCAAGCACATGGCTACGGAGAAAAAGCGAATCAGTGGGCAAGGAAACCCGAGCATTCAAAAACAGCCGGCGAACGTCGACAGTTCAATAGCAACCCAGGAAAAAAGTCTCAAGGCCAGTGGAAAAGAAGGAAAGCACGGAAAGGAAAAATAATTTAAACTAAAACGGATTTCTGCTGACGAGAGGGTGCGGAAATCCGAAGGCCACGAAAACCCCTCTTCCTACAAGTTAAATACAGTAATGGTGAAAAATTTGACTCTTCCGAAGATTGAAGTCTTGGTGAATAATATCCCAGCCACCGCACTCCTGGATACCGGCGCGCAGTGTTCCTGTGTGGCAGAAGATTTTTTTAGGAAGTATTTTCGCAAATACCGCATATATAATGCGGATAATACAACAGTGTTAGCGGCGCAAGGAGAAAAATGTAAGTGCGTAGGTAAAGTACCTTTGTATATCCGTATCAAGGACGAACAAGTAAAGGTGATCTTTTTTTATAGTAAAGAATCTGCAAGCACACTTAATCTTAGGAATAGACTTTCTTTCAGACGCACAAGCTACACTGGATTTTAATGAAGCGTCCCTTAAGCTGACAATGAAACCAGTTCGTGTAGAAAAGGCTGAACCGCCGAGGTTAAAACTTGACCACCTGCCTAATGACGAGCAAGAAGAATCCGACAAGTGGTAAGTGAATTTGCTTCGTTATTTAGTGATATTACCAGGTTACTAACCATAGTATTGACACCGGAGATGCAAT